TGCAAAACGACGATGCGCAGCGGCGTGTAAAAAGAGCGGTGGCGCTAGCCCACCTGCAGGAGTTCTCTGCAGCCAGAGCCGCCTTGATAGCGATGCCCATGGCTCCCGCGTCGGGCATCAAAATTTAGCGGCCCTATGCGACTGGGAAGGGAAGGGGACCTCGTGCGCATTCCTGCGCCAGGAAGCACGCGAATCACTCCACCGGCCCCCAACCTCTCCGCTCAGTCAGCTACACTCCTTGGACGGCGGGAATGAATGCGCGTTACACGCAATGGGCTCTAAAGCATCCCGAAACCAACCTCAAAGCGACCCCAAACCGGCCCAAAACCGACCTAGAACAGCCCTAAACCAATTCTACACCGACCCTCACCCTACCCCAAGCCAAACCTAAACTGACCCAAAACCAACCATAAACAAATCAAGCAGACTAAAACAGCTACACGAAACCGACTCAGGTGGCGGAACTAGCGGGCTCGGCCATCACTGGCATGTCTGGTTGGTGTTCGCAGCACCCCGGCGGTGCGCCTCAGTGAGGCGCGCGTCTTTGGGTTCAAAGCTGGCATGGAATGATGTTCCAAGTTTTCCTTGGATATTCCCATGCTGAGGAATTTTAGGCTTTCTGGTTGTCAAGGCGTTTTAGGCGCTTCAGGTGTTTTGCGTATGTTTGTGCATGTGTGCATGTTTTTGCTGCGCGCGATTGGCCCTTTTTGTGGGCTTTTTGCGCCCGGTTCAAGGCGTTTGCGGTAATTTGCGGGCATTTGCGTTCAAAACAGGGTCAATGCCGAGATTTACTAGGAATTCCTTGACGATTGAATCTCCAGGTTCTCTTCTTTGTGAAGGTTACAAAAGTGCCCTTGTATTTTGCTTTGGAATTGACAAACCCAGCCCGCACTGGCGCGGCGCCGGTCCCAACAGCTGGCAGAGGGCCGCCAACGCGGCTGGCGCACCCAGCCAGCTGCGGCCACTAGCATGGAGGCGCCCGCCGAGCACGGATGCAGGCGAGGTGCTGGACACTCCGTTGAGCATTCGCGCAGACAAGGGCAGAACTGCCGTGGCATCACGGTGTAGGAGGGCGCTGCGAGAACGTACCGCCGTTGCGCACACCAGCCATTGCTGGGGCACAACTTGCCTGCCTGTCCTGCCATGTGCGCGGCACAACAACGGAAGCGGAGTGAAGCGGAGTGCCGCAATAAGGACGATCATCTTCGACAGAATGGCAGTCATCACTGAGACCGCAGCATGGAAAGACTGGCAGCAACGAAGTGTGCTCCGGTGGCGCACAACTGCCACCCGTGCCGCAGCTTGTCAGTCTCTGACAGGTCGCCCCATCCTCATTCCCGAAGCAGGGCGGCGCTCCTGATAGCTGCAAAGGATGGCGCCTCAGGGTGGGCCCAGCGGTCCAGCGGTCTGCTGACTGTACATTCCACTTGTAGTACTTCTTCGCAAAGCGTTGGTTGGAGTTTTGATTTCGGAAATCCCTCCGCAGGATTTGGGGCGAGCGAAGGCGACAAACAGCAGGCTTTCTGGGGAAAGCGTGATTTTTTCTGCCAGAACTCAGTGATCTTGTCTTGTGCACGACGCGGTGCCTGCGGCAAAGTTTACAGCTTGTTGCAAATGGCGGCTGAGCGAAGTTTTGTGATGAGCCATCTCACGAGCGACAGGTTCTGCGAGGCCGTCGACAAAGCTGTGTATAACTTCGGTCTGTGTCAAGATGATCAGCAATCAATCGTTCTACTACCTGGTTTGTCCAATGCACGGGCCTCAACATCTGCGTCGCAAACAAAGAACAAACAGAAAGGGCCCGGGCCTCATTTTTCACAGCACGCCCGACGAAAACCAGCATCAGACCTTTGCGTCCACAACAAATCGTCAACAGCATACAGAGGAAACAAAAGACTGTCTACAAGGAAATCAACAACTTCTTCGCTCACCCCAATAACAACATAGAAACATCGTTGAACCATGATGGGTTCTAAGACGGTCCAGTGCGCACGCGCGGCTGCGGAAGCCGGACTGTAGCCGGACTGTCTGATCGGATCAGACGTGGACTTGCCACCCTTCGCGCTCGTCCCTCGCGGCTGTTGCGGTCCGTACCTCTGAGTCGTTGTTTTGTGTTTCGTCCCATCTGCTACATTGCCCAAGATGATTTTTGCTCACTTCGGCAAAGGGCATCGAACGCCAGGCTGTGAAAGCAACACAATCATCAGTAATTTTAACAACTCATGTTGGAGGGCATGATGCTGTGAAGGAGTCTGCGCAGGTGTATGGCGGTGTGTTTGTGTCTTCGTGGTTGTGCCCATGTTTCGCCTGGCTCTGTCTCTGTCTCTGTCTCGCTGTCTCGCCGTCTCTCCGTCTCTCTGTCTCTCTTTCTAAGTATGTTTGCTGGTTTTCATGTGTGCATGTATGTATGTGTGTGTCGTGTACGGTTGTGTCTTCTGTTTTTGTTGCGTCTGGGGTTGTATTGTGTTGTGTTGAGTCTTGTTGTGCTGTGTATGTAGGCCTGTATTTGAATGCGTTGGGTCGCGCTTTGTGTCGAGTTCATTCAGCTCAAATCATGCACAAGTTCGGGCAAATCATCCGTGCCACATCGGCGCAACAATTTGAGCGAGCGCATGTCGCCGAATCAAGTCGCCTGAGGTGCGTTTTTTCCTCTTCGCATGCACAAGCCGCGGATTCCAGAGATCGTCAGCTGGAGCTCCCGCGGTCCACGAACACCTGTGGACTGGGCAAACAAGCCACAACAAACCTATGTCAAACAAGCAGAACAGGGTTGCCCGGGCCGCTTCATGAGCATAGCTCCGCACCTCAGCTTCCTCCTCCAAGAAATGAGTCAGTGGAAGCTCGCACCTGAGGCTGGGCGTGGACACTGGCTGTCTCGTTGGTTGGAGCAGACTTGTGCTTCCACAAAAAACAAAAAACTCCGCCGTGACCCCCGCAAGCTCTCCGCTCGGAGCATGGGCTGCTGGCTTGCGCTCTGGGCGTCCTGCCATCTCTCCTCGGCCCTGTCCTCTGGCGTGTCGTCCGACTCATCCAGATTGATTTGGTGCCCTTCGGGCAGCACCAAGTCATCCTCTGGCAATGCCTGAGCCCAACAGGTGCCACGTGGCTGCGCCGAAAAATGCGCGCGCCTCGGTTCTCCATGCCTCGTCAACCAGGTGAAGTAAACCAACCTGGCGACATCGGAAGGCAAAAGGCTAGGGATTGGTGAGGCCAAACAGCTTGGCAACAAGTGTCCAGCTCAACAGTTGAATCTCTTGCCAATTGAATCTCTATTGACCACAAGGCCAAATGTCCAAACGCGGTCATGGCCTTCCATCGGTGCCGGTGGCAGAAGACGCTGTCTGAGAGATGCACTTGTGACCTGCGAATGCTGGCGGTCTCAATTGTTTGCTGCTGTGTGCGTGCGAGTTTGCGTGGGGCCGCGTGTGCGAGCGCGTGTGCGCGTGTGCATGTGGCTGTGCTCACGGATGTGTGTGTGTGTGTAGCGTAGGGTGTGTAGCGTGTGAGAGTGTGTAGAGTGTGTAGAGTGTGCAGAGTGTGCAGAGTGTGTAGAGTGTGTAGAGTGTGTAGAGTGTGTATGTAGTGTGTGCAGTGTGTGCAGCGTGTAGTGTGTGTGTAGTGTTGTTGTTAGTGTTAGTGTCAGTGCTAGTGTTGGTGTTAGTGTTAGGGTCAGTGCTAGTGATAGTGTTAGTGACAGTGTGAGTGCTGGTGCTAGTGCTAGTGCTAGTGCTAGTGCTAGTGCTAGTGCTAGTGCTAGTGCTAGTGCTAGTGTCAGTGTCAGTGTCAGTGTCAGTGTCAGTGTCAGTGTGTGTGTGTGTGTGTGTGTGTGTGTGTGTGTGTGTGTGTGTGTGTGTGTGTGTGTGTGTGTGTGTGTGTGTGTGTGTGTGTGTGTGTGTGTGTGTGTGTGTGTGTGTGTGTGTGTGTGTGTGTGTGTGTGTGTGTGTGTGTGTGTGTGTGTGTGTGTGTGTGTGTGTGTGTGTGTGTGTGTGTGTGTGTGTGTGTGTGTGTGTGTGTGTGTGTGTGTGTGTGTGTGTGTGTGTGTGTGTGTGTGTGTGTGTGTGTGTGTGTGTGTGTGTGTGTGTGTGTGTGTGTGTGTGTGTGTGTGTGTGTGTGTGTGTGTGTGTGTGTGTGTGTGTGTGTGTGTGTGTGTGTGTGTTTTTGTGGTTTTGTGTGTGTTTCCTGTGAGTTTGTGTGTCTGTTTGTGTCTGTGTGTGTGTGTCTGCGTCTGTTTGTGCATGTGTGGGGGTGTGCGCTTGTGTTTGTTTTGTGTTTGTTTGTTTGTGTGCGTGCGGGTGTGTGTGGGTGTGTGTGCGTGTGCACGCGCATATTTGCAAGTTGCATGTCCACAAGTGGCCACTTGAATTTGCTCGGCCATTGCATCCATACAATGGGACCCGCCAGAAGTAAACTGCCGAGGCATCGGCATGCTGCAGCAGCTTCTCGTTGGCAGCGCGCCCGCGGTACCCAATCTCTCAGAGCCAGAGCAACGTGCCCAAGAGCTGTTGCTGTGGTCTACACAAATGGCTGTGGGTCAAAACCCTGTACCCAGGGTGAATAGGTAGTACATGGGTGTTCAGGCCAAATGGCACGACTGTGGACATGCGCATCTCATGCTGAATTCACAAAAATACTGTCCGACGCATCAACCTCATCGCTAGCAGCTCATAAAACGCCTTTCTGCGCCGCCCAATGCCGCCGCAGTGGTCTTTGCCCCTCGTTGCTTGTGATTTGCCATAGAACGAGGGTCGCAAACCGAGCTGCCATGAAAAGCTCAATGCAAAGATTCAGAGCTAAAGCAGAGCGGTGGGCGCCCTCTCCCGGTGTTGCTTGAACTGTCTGCAAGAACATGTGTGGTGTTCTATAGAGTAGAGGGGGCGGGGCACAAGCCCCAAGCACATGTGCGAGTTGTGTCAAAAAGTACAGTAGAACAAGGGGCACTGCCAAATTATCACAAACTGCTGATCGCAACAACTGCACTTGTAAAAAGTTTTGTATGCACCATGCGGTCTCGTCTTGGTTTGAACTAGGCATGCTATCCGTCATCTTCTCACTCTCACTGGCATCTTGCGGGAGCTTGCGTGGCTCAATCGCCTTCAGACTCGCTGCCGCTGGAGTCGCTGTCGTCCTGTGCCGTTGCAGACTTGCAGACCGGCGACTGCTTTGGGCAACAAAATGCGAGCAGGGCTGCAAATGCGAGACATGCCAAGCTTCTTCAAAAGCAAAGGCATCTTTCGCGAGTCATGGTCCATGATGCCTTTGCAGCCAGAATGCCCCGAGCCTTTTTGTCATCGTCGCTCTCCGCCTGCATATCTCCAGCCCAGTAGGCATGATTCAGCAACCATGGCCGGACAGCTGAGAATGAATCCTCGTCTCGCTTGCCTCTTTTGCCACGTGCTGACGCAGCACCTGAAGGATCCCCCGGCCTTTTGCTGCTTGCCGTCACTGAGCTTCTCCACCTTCTCCTTCTTCTTCTTCTCCTCATCTTCTTCCTCTTCGCTGTCATCATCACCCCCGAGCCTAGCGTAGCATGTGCTGTCAGCGAAGACCCGACAAACCGAATCCGACATCTCCCTCAGAGGCAAAACTGCGAGGGCTTCAGCTTGCGAAACCTCACTGCCCTGACTCTCTCAGCGCAGAGCTCACCCATGAACTGCTGAAACAGTGTAGGCTGCAAGTCGAGATCCTGAGTGGCATGATCCCAGATGATCCCAGAGCTGGCACATCGAAAGCTCTCCGAGACCCGATTCCATGTGGAAGTGAGTACCCCAAGCCCTAGTTTCCCTTGGCTGCATCTAGTGTTTGCGGTACATTGGGCATCTTCTGGGCATTGCAGGGTGTAAAGGCGGTGCGTCAGGATAGCTTTAGATGACATGGGTCAAAACCCTGTACTACCCCCAGTGAACGTCCCAATCCCCACTAAAATCGGTTCTAAAATGGGTGGTGTACCCCAAAATGGGATCCCATTGGTTTCGACCCACAGCCAGATTACTGCAAGCTCAATCGCGTCAAGAGGATGTGCATCCAACTCCAGGTAATTACCCATCCATGGCCCGCCTCATCCTCGGGGTGGACAAAAATCTCGCGCTTCACCTGCCGCGGTGAGCGGAGCATTTGGGGACGCTATTTTTGAGGTTCAAGCTTGTTGGAAGACTGAACCCCTGCGGCACAACAAGCGCCCAGCTGCATATTGCGCTCTGTCGACTGCACACTCAAACAGCACCCGGCCTCATTCTCGGTTTTTGCGATGAAATTCAGATCAACCTGGCAGGTCATAAAGCTTGCACTTCTGCATGCGAGCGGTTCCTCTTCGGGACAGGCGTAGCCACGGAATCCCGCAAACATGTTGTTCTGATTGATTGTGACCAGGCTTGAGCAAACCTTTGCTTATGGTAGTGGTGCGCAAACACCATGCTTATTCGTGCTTATGCATGCCCTCAGCAATTTCAGAGTACAGAAAGTGAGGGTCCTGTGGTTTCACATTGTGAAGTATCAGTATTCATCTTCTTGGCCGAGTCAATACCGGCTCCAGCAAAAGCTCAACCAAAAACAGTATATAGTGCTTAAGATCGTAGCTGCGAACAGCATTGGACTCGCACATTCTCTTTTCTCTCGCTTTCTCTCTGTCTCTGTCTTTCACGCCTTCTGGTCAAGGCCCACGTAGGAGTCGCAAAGGGCATGCACCGTGAGGCTGTGCTTGCCAGGTCGCGAGATCTGCAAGCACGGGCTACGAGTTATGTGCTTCATGCGTGTGGCCTGACTGAGAATCCCAGACACTCCAATGTTGCTGCTATTTGCCAACATTCGCGAACGTTGGCCTGAGAAGGAACATTGGGGTTTATAAGGCGTGTGTGGGAATACTCACTGTACCAACACGTTTCACTTGTTTGAATAACGAAGCTCTCCTCTGGAATGCGAATTCCTGCATGGCAACACCTCACAGCCCAGGTCAACATTTGGCTGTAGGTCAAGATGGGTCACCCTGGTACATGGAAGCATGGACTGAAACCTGCGATCCTCTGGTGGATTAATTTTGACCCACACCCATTTTGTACATGCCACCACCAGCTTCCCCCTTCCCAGTCGTATCCCAGCCACATGACAAAGCGGTGGCCTGAAAGCGCATTTTGGTTTCCACCACCCTCTCGGTATCCCGAATTCTCCTTGGCAGGCATTGCACAGCTGTAACACGCCAAGTCTGGGAACCGCATGCGGGACTATTCTTGGCTGGAATTAGGACCCCAGCACTTTTTTTATTTGTTGCCTGGTTAGTGGAAAACAAAGGGGACCCACAAAACGCAAAAAAAAACAAGGTGAACTAATTCTGGGGAAGTATTCTGGAACGCATCCCAATCCCCACTAAAATAGACTAAAATAGGTGGTGCACCTACCCCAAAATAGTACCATGGGTTTTGACCCACAGCCACATCCATTCACTGAGGAAAGGGCTCGAAGGCGATGATTCTAGTGTTTGGTGCTCCTTCCACCTTGGACATCAACTCGTGGCACTGCCACTGCATGCGGCTGGTGCTGGCTTCCAAGCATATAACTTGGTATGCATCAAAACCAGGAGGACACTCTGGTCTAACATTTTCACGGATGTTCGTTTGGTAGTGCTCAAGTCCTCGCTGCGCCGGTGCACCTTTCAATCTGGCGATGTTGGGAATGTGTTTGGAGCTGTGCGTGACCTATGGGGAATCTGAGGAACATGCGCATGTGCAACTCCAGAGCCAAATTCCCAACATGGCCATGGGTCAAAATCCCGTACCCCCAGTGAACATCTAAATCCCCACTAAAATCGGTTCTAAAATGGGTGGTGCACCTACCCCAAACTGGTACCATTGGTTTTGACCCACAGCCGCATGACCCACAGCCGTCCAGGGGCTGCGCCAAAAAGATCCACCACTCCTCGAACTTCGGCTGCGCAGGGATGGGCAGCGAAGCAGCACGGATTTGGCAGATTTGCGGCCAAGCAAGCTGCAGCTTTCAGATTCCCTTGTGAGCAAAGTTCGTGAACGTCCTGTCTTCTTTTGTTTCATGATCAAGGTTGATGGAGTTTCTGCTAAAATTGAAACTGAGAAGGGAAGTCTGGCAGAAGATAGGAGCGAGCAAAAGCAATCCCTAGAGCCTCATAAATATCAAGGAAATGAGCCCGAGCGAACGAGTCACAGGCCAAGACTTTGCCCCACCTCCGGAAAGAGCGGCGCGTGGACGGGGCCCATGGCCTACAGATCTCCACATGTGAACCTGGCCCTGGAATGCTAGTGCAAGGCTACTGGACCTGAGCTGAAAGCCGCAAGCACCCGAAAGACAAAACAACCGTCATGACAGAACGCTGGACCTGAACTGAAAGTCGCCAATCACCCAAGCGTTGGAGGGATTTGGACTTGGATTGCCCTGTGCTGAACAAACTGCCTGATGGGCTCAAAACACATCCTGCACCCTGCCGCCCCTGCCTCGCCCTCTTGCAGATTCCTCCGCCTCGCATGGCGACGGGATGAGTAAAGACCTTCCTTGCACCAGTTGACCTGCTCAGTATCAGATCCCTTCTAATGGTGGCTTGCGCGCAGAAACCAGAATGTTGACCCCATATTAATCAACCCCTTTTAATTAAAATGGGGGAGTTCCCCTCCAATAGTGATGTCCCCACCCGCTATTAATACAGTAGAATGGAGTTGATTAATATGGGTTCAACAGGGATATGTGCCACCTGATGCGCTCTGGGCAGCCAGCGTGAGTTGAACAGACACTGTGGCGATGTCGCCCACAACAATCTCTTGCTCGTCCTCTACCTGGCGACGACTTGGGCGAGCCACCGAGCGGCTGAGTATACGGGCGCCATCCCTTGGTTTGGAGTCGTCGATTGTACAGTTCTACAATCTTTTCTGAGTGCGCTATGGATAGCTTGATGTGGCTCAAGTGGCTGTGGCTCAATAAAATGTACCCAAGTGGCACCTGGGTAAATGGAACCAAAGACTAACACCTGCGTAACCCTAGCTTTTTAATTTTGAGCCACACCCAACTGGCCACCCTCCACGGGTTCGCCTGGCTCCATTGCCAAAGCAGCTGCAGGCCTCTGTAATCGCCTTCAGCTCCATGTTGCTGACATGGGTAGCGAACGCCTCGGCCACATGGTCTCAAGGAGAAAGTGTTTGAGTCCCGAACAAAGCAAGAGCAGCAGTGCAGGGATGCGATTCATCCAAGGGCATTCTATGCAGATCTGGTGAACAAATAAAACAAGTCCTGAAGGTACTGGGGCCAACACAAAGACAGATTGAAAGGGTAGAAGTTCTGAAACGGAGATTTATGCTGCTAAAAGTCCGTTACTCGGAAATGCTCTTTGGCACGATCTTCGGGCCCGGAAAGGGTATAGGCGGCCCAATTCTGAACCCAATACAACCGTAAAATGGCTGTGGGTCAAAACCAATGGTACCATTTTGGGGTAGGTGCACCACCCATTTTAGTCTAAGTGGGGATTGGGATGTTCACTGGGGGTACGGGCTTTTGACCCATGGCCAAATCAGTGTCCGAAGTCGGTGCGAACAGCTGCCTCCACGTCGGCAATCTGGTCGGGCGTCATGGTTGCCAAGCCCTGCGGTACTGCGCTCTTGCGGCCCTGGATAGGCAGAAAGTAGACCGAACGAACAAAAGTAAGGGTTCAGCCCTTTCTGCCAGAGAGGGCTGACATTGTACGTAAGATCGACCAAGGCAGCTGTTTGGTGAAGAAGTTGAAACGAGCAAAGTCCAACTCCCCTATTCTCTCCATTCCCCGTGACGTGTCCCGTGAGACGTGCAATGACCATATCATATTGATCTCTTCATGGATTGCGAAACAAGAGGGAAAGCGGGGGGGGTGAAATGCAAAATGAGACGCAGGCTCGGTCACGAGCAGCTGCCGCAAAACAAGGCAACGGAAACCACAAGCGCTGCGTCGCTCCATCCTCTCGGCCACTCGGATTGCCTTCCGCTGCTCTGGATCTTTCTGCAAGTAGTCCGTCAGCGTGGATGTCTTAGCAAACGAACTACAATGACGAACTATCCTGTCACGTTGCTTGACCTTGTGCAACTCAAAACCCTTGAATCGCTGAGTGCGATCGGAAGTTCAATACTACGTGGCATTGCTTCACTACGCCACCCTTGATTGAAGCCATACTATGTTGTCTTTCTGTCACTGCAAGTGGCGCAGCTTACAACTCGCCGCACGGGGTCCGTTGACTGGTGCTGAGGCCTTCTGAGTCCCTGAGGCCCCATCTGCATTCTTGCCCTTCAGACAGTGCCTGGGCTCGGACTAGCAAACCATCCAGATGAGTGTCGATGAAGTCTTAGGAACATTCGTCCCGCCCGTCATGCTTGCAACAGCTGGTTTGGACAAGTAGCAGCAGATTACTCTGACAAAATCAAGCGTGTGGGTGTATGCGCGAACAAATTCGAACCTAGCGGGCGGGCCAGGTTGAGTGCGTTTAAAAGGGGTGGGGTGGGGCGGGGTTGCAACCCAACTAAGCAAAGGGCCATTCCCCTTTTCAGGCGGGGTTCAGGCCCTGGTGTGCACGTTCTGGCAACTTTCAGAGTGGCAGAGAGAAAGAGAGAGAAAAAAGAGAGAGAAAGAGAGAGAGACAGAGACAGAGACAGAGACAGAGACAGAAAGAGCGAGAGAGCGAGAGCCAAAAGAGGAGAAACTGCACTGTACTCAAGACATATTCAAGGAATATTTTATATATACACATATATATATATACATATATTGAGAGAGGGAGAGAGATAGACAAAGGGCCATTGCATGTATCTGCTTGCTTCATCATGCCCTCCTCACCGTCTTGGTCACATGGAGAGCCACAACGCTGCGATTGATTGCCTCTCTGCTGCCTATGGCGGTTGGCAACATGTACCGACCCAAACGCGCCCCACAACGCGCCCCATTCTGAGAGCTCCAGCTTCAGGATTTCCTCGTTGAAGTGAGGGATCTGCAGCAGCTGCGAGCTCTTCACGTCCAAGCCCTGCGGCACGGGCTACGCGACTCCTGCGTCCATAAAATCTTGGTAGAGGTGGGCAGCAATTTGGGTGCGCCGAGGTTTCTCTTCTTGGTGCATTCACCCTCGCCAAACCTTGTATGCAAGTATTGACCCATTTCTAATCATTGGAAACGAGGTACAACTGATAACTCTCAGGCGGACCTCGTTTTCATGCACATCAAATCGACAAGCTGTCACTGTAGCCCGCCTGGATCAGTGAACGACGAAACTCGATCATGGCTTGAGCCGTAAAGAACCTTAGCAAAGTTCTTCTCTGTCCATTGGTTCTCATCAAAAATATGGATAGCAGGTTGTCACCTTGTCACCTTGTCTAAGGCTTGCAATACGCATCTGAAAGGCACCGAGAGCCATGGAATTCTAGGGCTGCAGCCACTCACGCATGCAGGCAATCTCTATCATCGCCTGCGAGATCTTCAGGGAGTGCCTGGCCCGGATCTGGCACTGAGACAGCGTTGGTATGCAGAAGAATGCTGCGTCTCGCTTCTCGGTGCTTGCGTGCCTGCCCGTTTTGGCCATTCCCTTCCACCCTATTCTGACTCACCGTGGCAGGCCAAGAATATATTTGTGCAATATTGAACACAACACACTCCACGCCATCGACCAAAGCCCCGCTTCAGCAGCTCATCCAGGTCAGCTCGGAGCTCTGCGGACATGGAGCCGTGCAGGCGTTGCATGTGTGCCAGCAGCAGGTAGTCGTTCCTGCAACTTGGAACATACTTGGGGGGGCGCAAGTGCGAGGCGAGAAGCAGCTAGCAAGACTTTTGTAGAACAACATTTCTTGCGGCCAGCAGCCTCAAACACATTGGTCTTCTACAAGGAACAATGCTCAGCGCTCTCTCATGACCATCTGTGAAGCAAGAAGTTTGAATGAACGTGGCCAGGGGCACTTGATGATGATCGGCAGCTTGAACTGGCGCTTCTTGTGTTCGGTCACTTGTGACCCAAGCCTTGGCAGCGAACAATTCCCGTCATCCAAGCCTGTTGCTCACTGCCCTGGCCGGGCAATGCTGCTTATCTGAAGCCAACTGCTGTTGCAATCCATGGTGAAGTGTGCACCATCAGGCAACACGCATTCAGTCTAACCAAGCTGTTGCCAGAAGCTGACAATGACTTGTCAAAAAGTGAGTTTCAAGTTAAGTTGCTTCGCCAAACCAGAATGCTACATTAAAACAAGGCTGGCATATTGGACATTGCATCCTGCCAAACCCCAGGCCCCAGCGGCCAGAGGCCCTGGGCCCCGCTAGGCCCCGGACGTCTTGAGCTCTTGGTTGTCCGAGGGTCTCAAGGCCATAGTCCTCGTGGCAACCAACACGTGAGTTCCAATCGAATGGAAAACAACGGCTCAGCTTCCCTCCAGCACGCACACCATTGTGCCGTAACTTGGTTCAGGAGGGGTGCACCCCGTTTACTTCCGATTCGAATCCCCAAAGCAATCCAAACCACCTAAAGGTTACCTGCAATGGGGCGCCTCTGGGAAGTTGTGGCCCCTGGCCTCCCCAAATATCAATAATTTTGCCGTGTGCATCGTAGGACATATCGGTCGAAGCATCAGTCAGGGCATCAGTCATGGAACCGCTCAGAATATTGCTTTACATCTGGGATCAATTCTGCGAAATGGAGCCAAAACACCATCTGAATATTGGGGCATTGTATTGGGTATTCTTGTGTGTTCCTCGCCAGTTTTCCGTGCCACTTCCTCAATGACGCCTCTGAAGATTTCAAAATTCCGCAGATCGACATGCAAGTGCTGAGTTCAAGCCAGTATGTGGCTGTGGGTCACGAAACATAGGCCAAAACCTGCGGTCCGCTGGTGGTTTAATTTTGACCCAAACCCATGTGTGAATGTTGCATGAAGGGCTGCAACCACCAAAACCAGGATCCAAGAAAGGCTTTGAAGAGGCGCCAAGCTCGGCTTGGCACGAATCGGATCCGCGGATCTGCCTGCTCTCGGCAGATGCTGCAAGGAGCTCTGGGCAGTTCTTCAGTCGTGTGGCCTGGCGTCAAATTCCAAATCGGTTAGCCCCAGTGAACATCCGATTCAATCCAACCACTAAAATAGGTAACCTAAAATGGGTGGTGAATTCACCTACCAAAATGGGATCCCATTGGTTTTGACCCACACCGAAACAGGTACCCGGATTTGAATCCTGGTAAATGGAAACAAGGACGAATAATGGACTAACACCTGCTGTCCCCTGGTGTTTTAAGTTTGACCCATACCCACATCTGCGACCGATGTCGTCGGATTAACGTCCATGGAGTCATGGGCACTCTCCTATTCAAGGGATCCTTCTACAACAAAGCACAACATTACAGCGTTCCTGTCTGAAGGGTGGTTTTAGCCTTCCATCAACCAACGGCCAAAGTTGCTTGTAGTGGACATCTCGCAACGCCAGCTGGCGCAAGAGGCAAAAGCGGCCTCATTGATGTAGTACCTGAGGCGAAAATATAAGAATTACTCTATCATGAAGACAAGCGTTCGGGCACCCCATAAACTGCAGTGTTTCGATCATGACGCCGTTCGCAGCGTAATTCTTTGTCCTGCCAAAGATTGCGCGCTGCGGGCGGCTCTCAGGATATCCGCATGACTCCATGGGTGAACAAGCAGCGAAACGCTAAATTCTTCCAGAAGACAAGCACAACTCTTGAGCTGTCCTTTGGTAATAGCAAATGAAAGCCATTGGCACCACCTCAGTCACATTGCGCAGCGGGAGTTCTACGAATTTGGTGCTTGTCCTTTGTTCTCACAGCCTTTCTTCGAATGGATATGTCGCAGCATCGTTTGACTCAGGCTGGATGCGAGGCTGTAAGGCGCTGACGAACAGAAGCAAAAAGAAGAAGAGGCAAAGGATGATCTGGCATGTCAAAGGTACTTGCTGTGGCCAAGAATGGGGCAACCGGTGGAAAATTCTGGGCTGGCTGCTACGATATGCCCAAATCACAGGGAACTTGTCCGATTGTCTAGCCACTCTAGACCCGAAGCACTTGATCAAGACAGGGGTAGGCTGCAACCTATTTTAGTGGGGATTGGGATGTTCACTGGGGGCTAACCGATTTGGATTTTGACTCATGGCAGGACCTACATGCCAGCCGGCAATCACTTGCAATCTGCCGGCTGGCACCAAGTGGTTGTCCTTCTCCAGAAGAAACCGCGGCCTTGAGCCATGGTCTGCGTTACTTTCGAATGGCAAAATGGCTGTGGCTCAAACAACCGGTACCATCGGTACCAAAATGGGCTGCCCTGGTAAGTGGAAACATGGACCAAAGCCTGCGGAACCCCCCCCTGATTAATTTGGAGCCACACCCAAATGAGCGAAATGCGCATGGTATTGGGGCACAGGCAATCCAATGCCCACTTTGGAGGTCTGCGGCCCGTCTGGATTTCCATACCTGCCGCGCATCATGTCTATGTGCCTCTACTTTACAGTCAGGGAAATCAAAGTGATAGTGCTAATGGCATCAGCACACCGGTGAGTCCCACCTGCTGAAAAATATCTCGTGCACTTCTGCATGTCTGACACGCTACACGCCAAGGTGCCTCTTCAACTATAGTGGTTGGTGTGCGCTCCTCTGCAAATGTCACATTGGGCGCACTTCTCGAAATTGGCCTTGGCCGTCTCGTCTGTGAGGGCGTTGTGCGCCTTGCGTTGGAGTCCATTCATGATCTAAGGTGCGCTTCATTTGAAGTCACGCTTGGCAGTCTTTCCTCCCTCACTTCAGCTTTGGGCGGGGGCAACTGGCTTATGCAACGCAGAATCTATGGCCAACCTCATCGACAAGTCCCTGCCTTGGTAATCTGCATGAAGCGATTGGCCGCCAAAGGGTCGTCAGGATTCTTGTCAGGGTGGTAGATCAGTGACAGCTTTCTATAGGCCTTGCGGAAAACTGAAATCCCTTGAAATCCATCATCTGTTCATTGAAAATACCAGTGACATCAGAGTCTCAAAAAATGGAAGCCAGCCATCTGCAGCCGCCAACCGCCATCTACAGCGCGCCTTCTTGACCTCTGTCGCCGATGCGCCAGGACTGATTTCCAAAATTTCGAAGGGGTCGAACCTGGCGCCGGCGTCTTCCAACGTGCGAAGCTTAAAAAAGCCACCGGAGCCTCTTGATTTCCTTTGCATCCCCAATCTGCAAGTACATCAGGTACAGGGTCATCCTCAGAGATCTGAGGATACCTTGGACACCTTCCCAAAACTGAGGCACCCGCCACAGGCCAACAAGCACCAGCAGCTTTATCACACTGCCGGCTTTGGAGCCTTGAGTGCAAAAGGGTCTGCATCCTGGCCATTTTGGTCAGCCTGAAATTAGAAGCTGCCCTTTGCGCAGCGCAAGGGCGATATTCGTCCAATTCTCCGCTTCCACAGCGCATGCGTCAAGAAGGGAAATAAGGCAATCCTTCCATGTCTTATGTTTGCTTCAGCCGCCTGGGGGCCTGGGGGCAAAAATGAGTCAAGAACAAATGGGACATAAAGCAATCCGTCCAAGTTGTTTGATTGCGTCAGCCGCCTGCAAGCGAATGCGGGCGAAAGCGCAACATCAGGAAGCCTTAAGGCGGCCACAAACTAGCACTGCCCACAGCGCTGAAAGCAAATGGCCACTGCATGAGTCATGATGAAAACCTGGTATTAAAATGGGCTACCCAGAACCATGTAAGAAATTGAACAGGCGGCCGCACCTGTTTATTTATCCTTGGGATTGTTCCCAACCTTCGTCTACCCGGGCTTTGATTGTGGCTATCACGCGTTTCCACTGTGCCACCTTGAAACCCCGGCACCAGCGCCTGCATTGGCAAAGCGGGCACTTTTCCTCGCCTGGAAGCACAAATAGACTTCCCCGAGACAGGGGAATCAACATTCACTGAACACTTGGCCAACCTGCCTGGTCTACCTTGTCCGTCATTGCTGAACCTTTGCCACATGGGCGTCTCTTGTTTTGAACGACCCTCAAAATGATGGGTTTTCCTTTGGGTCACCCACATGGGGCTTCTGGTCCGCACTACTTGCCCGCATGTCGGCGCATCATCTCTCAGGTGGCAGCTGGAGCAGTACCGGTATCTGCTCCCGGCTTTGCTCTTGGTGGGGAAATCCTGGCAACACAGGATTAAAGACTCAGATGCCCAGTGGCCATAGGCAAAAAAAGGCATCCTGTTTTTGGTTGGTTGACTTTAAAGGGAAACCCTCCCAAAACAAGAAAGACAAAAAGGGCACCACTGGGCAACTGGGCAGAATTGCAATGCAAGACTTGCAAGCGAAGTGGAGAAATCCTTCTCCACTTGAGCTTGCCCAGGAAAAAGGGCATTGTAGATCGTGGAACACGTCCACGGCACGGCCACTGTCACGATCACCTGAGCATGCGCAAACATAAAAGAAGTCGGCGGCCCGCAATCAAAGCATTCTAGCCCTCACCAAGAGCGGGACTGAGCTGAAAAAATAATAGAAGGCCGTGTCATCATAGCCAAGGAGGCCTTCCTTCTGATCATCCTTCAGCTTCCACAAGTGGAAACCGGCGCTTTGCAAAGCAACTAACCAGGGGTGTTTTGCAAAGCACCTGCACGCTGTTCTTCCTTCCCTGTGCCCGAGCTGTTCTCTTCCAGTCCATCTCTCAGTCCATCTCTCCTTCGTGAAGGTGTCCTTGAACGACATGGCTCAGCCTGTCATCCAGACATCAAGTCTCGGCCGTCTCACACCGAGATTTTGCCTGTACCAGTCGGCTCTACCCCTAAGAAAGTCCGGCTCGCATCGACCTTAGCTACACGCCACCGGCCAAGCATCAAACGTTGGCACAACGCCGTGTGTGTTTTTTTAATTGTGTGGGCCTATACACTGCAAGCTAATACCTACGCGGGGGCTACGCAGCTGTCTTTCCCCCTAGGAATTTGGCTACGCGGAGGCCACGCGGAACATAATTGTTGATAAGTGGCTACGCGGGGGGCTACGCCGGGGCTACGCGAATATATGCGTTGGCACCGGAAGTAGTAGTAGCACCAGCAGCAGTCGTAGTAGCAGAAGTAGTAGTAGTAGTAGTAGTAGTAGTAGTAGTAGTAGTAGTAGTAGTAGTAGGAGTAGTAGTAGTAGTAGTGGTAGCAGTAGTGGTAGCAGTAGTAGTAGTAGTAGTAGTAGTGGTAGTGGTAGTGGTAGTGGTAACAGTAGTAGTAGTAGTAGCAGTAGTAGTAGTAGTAGTAGTAGTAGTAGTAGTAGTAATGGTAATAGTAGTAGTAGGAGGAATGTGGGCCAGTGGCCTTGAGTACGTACGCCTTGGAGGCTACGCGGAGGCTACGCGCAGGTTACGCTGAGGCTACGCGGAATGAGCGAACTCAGTTCTGGCCGGGCCAAGGCAAATGAAATTCACCCTCTTTCTCTGAGACATGCAAGCTTTCAACCTAAGCCTTTAGCTCAAGACAAAGGGTCTAGGCAAAGGCTACGCGGACGATTGTCGACAGCTCCCTTTGCTAGTGGCTACGCGGAGGCTACGCGAGGCTACGCGGTCCCAGGAGTAGGCTACGCGGCCACCATGCCAGTTCCCCTCTCCTTTTGGCTCGTGCATTAAACAAAAAAAACACTGCTCAGCTGAGGCACCGGCCGAACAACAGCTGCGATTAAGGTGCAATGCCAGTCAAGCTATGCACAATGGGATCTGATTGTTGCGATGGCTGGCTTTGCATCTGGCATGATCTGATATCTTGCATGTTTATTGTTTCCTAAAGCCTGATGTGAAGCGAGGGGCGAGCACCAGAGCAGTAGTTGCTTGCGCACCTCTGAGATGCGTGGAGTTTGCCTTTGCATGGGCATAGGAAAGCACAGGTAGCCTGCCATGTTTTTCTTCTGTATGGGCTTGTGATCTTCATTGAAAAGTATGGCAAAAGCAAGCGGCGTGGCGCATCCCTTTCCATTTCTCCTCGACCAGCCTAAGGCGGTCCTGGACCTGGTGAGACGCCCGAATTCGGACTGTCCTGCTTCCAGGGCAATGCTTTGGTGAGCGGCATGCCGTCCGAAACTCATGAACAAGTCCGAACATGTTGGACCTCACGTCACAATGATTCGAAACACCTTCAACATGGTGTGCTTTAACTTTCGGCCGCCACCAGAATGCCCGCAGGATGGCTACTCTTCCTCCCTCAACTTGGCTTTCATAGCCTGCAAATGAGCCTGCGTAGACTGTGCAGCACCGCAAACGCACGCAAACACAGGCTCTTTTTCAAATTGCCACATGGTTGAATCTGCCCCTGCACCCGTCAGGACACATTAACCTCGTTTTCCAACGCCGTTCATGTGCTTGTGATGTCAAATAAATGATGTCAACCATGCACAGGGCCCTACCTCGTCCTCGTTTGCAGTTCTAGTTCGTTTTGCTTCTAATTCAGTATGCTTGTTTTCTCCAAACACGTTTCCGCCCAGCCTTAACCCTATCTTCATTTTCTGTGCCTCTCATGTTCCCGCGTCTTCGTCCTCCCCCTCGAATGAAGGGATTCGCACCTTCGTCTTCTCTTGCCGCTGGCCCGACTCGGAGATGCTCTGCTCGAAATGAGCCATGAAGCGCATCATGTCTTGCACCTGAAGCTCCACCCAGGAATGGATAGACCCCTTGTTGGGATCTTTTGAGGACGGCCCTAGATGCTGTGGTTCAAAGGTAAAGAAGGGCCCGGCCCTATCATATTTGTCTGCTGACACAAGGCTCCTTCTGTGCAAGAAACATAGGCAAATATTATTTCAATCATGATTTAACGCCGGGCGTCTTTTGATGACAGTTGCTGCCAAACTACCAAAGGTCGAAGCACGACACATCCCTTTGCAGGTGATCAAACAGCTTGCTCTCGTTATTTGATAATCCTTCCTGCTGTGTGGGCTCTGATGCTAGCAGAAAGGACTTCTCCCTGTCTTGCTGCGGGCACTATCTGGCTGTGGGTCAAAACCAATGGTACCATTTTGGGGTAGGTGCACCACCCATTTTAGCCTATTTTAGTGGGGATTAGGATGTTCACCGGGGGATTTGGCTTTTGACCCATACCCGTCTGGTTTTTCGAGGCTTCTGAGTGGCCTTGTGCAAGGCCATCAGTTGAACCAAACCATGGCTGAGCCATCGGCCATGCTCTCTTGGCTGGAGCTCTTCATCTCCAACTCGTCCGCAAGCCTTCGACAAGGCGCCGTGGGCCCGAACGGCCGCCCTCAGGCACTTGACGAAAGAAAGTATACAAATGAACGAATCAACGAGCAAACGGGCGCACAAACGAGACAACAAACCACAAACAAACAAACAAACAAACAAACAAACAAACAACAAACAAACAAACAAAGCCAAGAAAAAAAACAACAACGAACAAACGAACATGTGACAACTAACAAACAAGCAAGCAAGCAAAGCACGACAAAACAAGCGAGCAAACAAGCAAAACAAACAACCCGAAACAAGCACGCGTGCAAAAACAACAGGCCGCCATTCCCAGGCTCTCAGTCCCGCCATCAAACTGACAAACTGAAATATCGCGCCCGCCTCTGACGCACCTCCTCCAGGCCCTGGCGGACCTGTGGCTCCTCGCGATCAGCTGAATGCGGGCGGAAGTTTCACGGCAGGACCCGGGTAGCGGAGCTGCAAGGCCGGGCAGGACTCGTGACCGGAACCCTTTCGGCTGGTGCCATCCCCAATTTTGTTTGGGTGTTGTGGCGCTCCCGAAACAACATGCGGCGCTGCAAAAACATGATGCCAATTGAAGTTGAAGGTTCTATTGACGCCTGGCGGAAGCGCCGGCGCGTTGAACTAATTTCCGAAATATCAAAACCGCCGGCTCCATGTGACGCTCCCCTTTCACTCCTTCTGCCTCACTTGCCGCTCCACCCTGGCCGAAGCGCATTGATCGAGGCACGCAGCAACTCTCCCACAGCAATTTGCTCCATCGAGCGGCACTTTAATTAACAGCGCTAAAAAGTGCAAATGCCTTCCATGCGGCTTGGGTCAAAAAAAATCAGGTATCCAAAACGGACACCAGGTAAACTTGGGGCCAAAGACGAATCCGTGCGCAACCCTACTGTGGATGGACAAAACCCTGCACCAAGTTGCAACCATAGAGGAAACCAGGTATTTACAGGGGAATCATTAATTCCCGGGTTTCTTATGGTGCAGGAGCTCTTCCATTTTGAGCCACGCGGATCCCCGAGGCGCCGGCGCGTCGAAGCGCTCCTCTGCGCGCTCGCGCATGTCGTGGCCCCGGCTGCGGCGGGCCTGGCGAGGGGCAGGGGGGCAGTGCCGGAGGTCGGAGGGTCGTGACTTAGCAGAGAAAAAGAGAATCTTACAGGGCCCTGGGGTGTACCTGCCGAATTTCAGACATCTTCATCATATTTATGGCAGGTCAAATTTGAAGCTGAAAATCTGACACTCGCAGAGTACCTCCTTTTCCTCTGCCAGCCGCTTCCTGGAGAGCTGATTGCTGAAGTCTACTTACTGCCAGTTCAATGTTCGTCCGCAAGGACACCCGATGATTGCTGAACTTGAATGCATCGATCAGCAATGTTCATGCCACCGGGCTCCTGATGGCCTGGAATCGGCTTTGCATATCCGCCATGAAGCGGTCATGCTCTTCTCCTCTCTCGGCAACCTGCGGGAGTCTGCATGCAGCTCGCCATAGCAGATTCGTCGGTGCTGGCACATCGTTGATATGGCTGTGGGTCAAAAATTGGTACCCAAAATGGAACCCTGGTAAGTGGCAACGTGGACCAAAACCTGCAGTCCCCTCATGGTTGAATTTTGACCCACACCCATATCTTGTGTCTTGCTGTCCACTCCACTGCATAGACTTGCGTGCCTGACGCTCGAGGAAGTCGTTGTGCCTTATTTTCGCGGAAGGCACATCATAGTGCGAGCACGTGACAACCCAACACTTGCAGTTGTCAAGGATCCTTTGGTCACGCCGCCCAATGTGCCAATGTTCCAATGTTCGGAGCTTGAATGCTTGGACCATTCGAGCAGTGGTCTTTTGTCCTGCTGCAAGAACATGCAGGCCCTGCTGACGCAAGCGAAGGCGTTGAAAATAGCCACTGAGAAAGCATGACTCAGTCTGTTTGGGTAACTTCCAGGGCTGTTGCTGCTTCAGGGCAGCATTGAGAGGCTCTGTCTCAGCAGCTGCATGGGCTAGGCAGTCCTGGCGATCACGTCTAAAGGTGGAAGAAACAGAAATGAGTGAGTTTATACTAATCTAGATGTCACATTCAATATCCATGCATACATCTAAGCATCACCGAGACATGATGAAGGCATGGCACTTTCCAGCCTCATGCTCTTGCACGATAGCCTCATCCAAGCTGGTAATCGTCTCACCTTATCCGAGACATGTGTGACGTATTATATTGCGAAGCAACATTCTCAGGTGCGCCACCCATTCGGGTAGACCGCGTGGTGATTTCTTTGGAGTCATCAGCCTGTCAGAGCGTTAATTCGAGCATCAGTCTGAGATATTGCCAATGGGGGAAAAAATGGAAGAAAAGTATTCACAAGCAAACGAGCTGGGCTGAGTTGCGGGCGAACTTATGTCTCCAGGCTTTCTTCCTCTCCGCAACCGTGTCGACAAACTCCTTGCAGAAGTCCTGCAATGGCTCGTGAGCAAACGCTCCTTGCTTGATGGCATGGACGTAAACAGGAACCAGAGCCCCAGGAAGGGTCTCCTCAGGGGGGGACTTGGGGGGTCCCCTGAAGGGGGGGGTGGGGGGTCCCAGGGGCGTTGCCGGGGGATCTTTGGGGTTTTGGGGGCCCTGGCCCGGGGGGGCTTTGGGGGGCATCATAGCTGCAAGATTCTTGCAAGTTGTCCCCCGCCTTCAACTGATCAAGATTCTGCTTGGCTTCTTTGTCCGACTTGGCCCGCATCGCCACCAAGCGGTCCAGGATCTGTCAAGTGACTGGAGGTCGCTTAGAGACTATTTTTTCCGGCTGCACTCAAAACATGTACCAAAACGGAACCACAGACTCAAACCCGCGCTGCGCCCTAGCTCTTCAGTTTTGAGCCACACCTTACGCAAATTTAAGTCTTTGGTTCCATTTGCCAAGGTGCCATGTTGGTACATTGATTGTTCTGACCCACAGCCACACCCATGCCTTATGCCACACAGGTCAAAAGCCCAAGCCGCCTCTTTGTTCCTCTGGTCATAGAGCTTGGCCAGCACGCCCCGCCCCTGGCATCCGGACATTTGAGGCGCGACCACAAATTCAAGGGAAACCCTAAGCCCAAAGAAAGGAAACAAAGGGCAACACCGGGCCACCGGGAAATCCGAGGGACTAGCCTCTCTGGCTTCCTGGAAGGAGGCCGCGATGTCGTCATGCCTTGGCTCACAGCGCACAGGCGCACAGCTATGGAAGCCTTCAAATGAGTCACCGGCTCAAAGCCCGGTAGCATGGTCGTAAAACCAGAACCATGCTTCAGGAACTAAGAAGCCGGATATCCGCAGCTATTTCTGGCAAGGGGATTGTCCCTTACTAACCTTCATCAATCCCCGAGTTTTGAGCACGTGGCTCAATTGGCTCAACTGACAGTATTCAAGGGACAAGGAATGTGACACCTTCAGTCTGGCACCCCAACGGAACAGTCAGGATCAAAGGATCACCCGGCACGCACTGAGCCACTGGCTCCCGACAGTAAATCTCCAGCTTTTCATCCTGGAAAGGCCTCGGTTCAACACCCCCTAGGACTCCAAGCAATGGAGCAAACATTTTCCTCCCAGAGGTGTCATTGTTGGGGAAAATGGATGGGTTTCCCTGGTTGATTGAGCCACCAGGTAAACTTGGCAAACCAGGAATCAGGAATCGCCCTCTATTGTTCAACCAAACCGACCAAAAAAGACACCTATGGAAGTTCCTCCACTTTCCTCAGGAGCTGGCTGCAGCTGGGCTTCCGCTGCAGTTACTCGGATCACTTCCGTCTTCGTGAGCCTGGTTCGGCCAGGGGCAAGCATCTACGCTTTTGGCTCAAGAAACCGTCAGGCAACACAAGCAATGGACCTGAGTGTTTGCCTTTTCCAAAGAAATGAACAGCCCTTGAAAAAGGTCTCTACACCAGTGGGCTGCTTATTCATCCAGAAAAGCCAATGGACATCACCAGGTTCAGGGCAGGCCCAAAGCTTGCTCGATTCTGGCCATCACTTGCTGTGCTGCCCAAAAGACTCTCAGCAATTGCAGCGAGTGCGGCAAAAAGCTCTCCTGATTACTGATTGATTGGACATTGCAAGGCTTATTAAAACAGTTTAGTGAGGGGGCTACATGCATGATGCTGCCCACTGGGCAGAGTCGCCATGATCCACCCGCTGCTTGCCACTGCTCTGGGTGCGCGCACGGAACCACATGGGGCTCTTTCTCAACCCGGGACTTGCGAGGATGGGCCTGGGCAGCTGGCAAATACTGGTTTGCACAAGCCTCTTGGCTCACCTGGCAGTGGGTCAAAACCAATCGTACCATTTTGGGGTAGGTGAATTCGCCACCCATTTTAGAACCTACTTTAATAATCATTAAGATGTTCACTGGGGGTACGGGCTTGTGACCCATGGCCACATGTTTGCTCTGTTGAGCTACAGCTAGAACAACAAACACTCGTAGGGCGGATGCAAGTCAATTGACAATTGATCTATCAAAGTCCGCTCACTGTCACTTGATTGTCAGTTCAGCCCTCTTTGTATAAGGACTGGATATGTCCCTCGCAGTTTGGCCAGGGTATGTGTCAACCATTTGAAGCAGCAAACGTCTCTCATCGGTGCGTCATGCTGGGATGCAAAGCGCAGCACGACTTGAGTCAAGCAGAGCACGACTTGAGGTGAAAAAAAAAATGACTTGAACTTGTGCGAAGCTTCTACCAGCATCGTGCAAAAGAAGATCCGGCAACATGGCTCAGGCCCTGACCATTGTCGCCATGGCTGGTGTTGAGGGTCCTCACATATTCATGAAGACCCCATCCAGCTTGAACCAACCATAAGCTTTCCCAAGCGCGTTGATGGCAATGTCAAATCGAGTTGGTTTCGCTGAGCCGAGTTGGGTGATGACTAGCTCGGTGATGGCCGCATGATGCTGGATAACAGCTGGGTATTGACAACATTAATGACAACAATGGTAACTACCTGAATAGTGATCATAATCATAATAACGGAGTGGTTTAAGCTTTGAGAAAAGCATCTTTGCAAATTGTACCCGAGTCAGATTGCAACGTGAGAATTGTACCACCACGGCCGGGAAGCCCTGTGTACCCAACGAGTTCAGCGTATTTCGTTGACGACCAGGATTCCTGCAAGGCACGCTGCAAGAAATGGAAACAGCCGCCAATGTCCTGCAAACATTAGCTATTTTAAATGGCGACACGGATTGTATGGCATTTTGATTGCTTTTTTTCCCCGGAAGCATTGCGAAGGGTTCTTCTTCTAAAAGCGGCTGCCAACTTCACCTGCCAACTTCTCATGCCAACTTGTCGAGAGTTACTTCACCTGCCAACTTCTCATGCCAACTTGTCGAGAGTTACTTCACCTGCCAACTTCTCATGCCAACTTGTCGAGAGTTACTTCACCTGCCTACTTCTCATGTCAACTTTTTGAGAGTTACTTCACCTGCCAACTTCTCATGTCAACTTTTCGGCTGTTATCTCATTCTACTAAAAGCACAAGCTAATTTGTCGGGTGTTACTTCACTATCCTAAAAACACAAGCTAACTTTTCTGTTCTACCTTCACATCTCGACTCTTAATTCTTCTTCTTTTTATGGCGGGGGTAGGCCCGACGGGAGCTTACGAAACGCACCCCTCTGCGGAGATCGTGCGTGTCGAAGCGCTCTCGCTGTGGCGCCGTGCGAATTTGTCTTGAGCCGGCGAACCCTCTGCGGAGATCGTGCGTGTCGAAGCGCTCTCGCTGTGGCGCCGTGCGAATTTGTCTTGACCTTGGCGAACCCTCTGCGGAGATCGTGCGTGTCGAAGCGCTCTCGCTGTGGCGCCGTGCGAATTTGTCTTGAGCCCGATGAACCCTCTGCGGGGATCGTGCGTGTCGAAGCGCTCTCGCTGTGGCGCCGCGCGAATCTGTCTTGGTCGCGGCGAACCCTCTGCGGAGATCGTGCGTGTCGAAGCGCTCTCGCTGTGGCGCCGTGCGAATTTGTCTTGACCTTGGCGAACCCTCTGCGGAGATCCTGCGTGTCGAAGCGCTCTCGCTGTGGCGCCGTGCGAATTTGTCTTGAGCCCGATGAACCCTCTGCGGGGATCGTGCGTGTCGGATCGCTCTCGCTGTGGCGCCGTGCGCATCTGTCTTGAGCCCGATGAACCCTCTGCGGAGATCGTGCGTGTCGAAGCGCTCTCGCTGTGGCGCCGTGCGATTTTCTTGCTCGCGAAACGGCTTTTGGAAGTTGTCTCGTGGTGTGCGCGCCTGCTTTCGCAATCCCGCGGTCCCGGGTTCGATTCCCCCCTGGTCCGCGGCAGCTCCGGCTTGAAAATCGCAGCTTTTAAGTACAAACGTAGTACGCGGAGCGTGCTCCTGCAGCTCCGGCTGGAAAATCGCAACTTTTAAGTACAGACGTAGTATGCGGAGCGTGCTCCCGCAGCTCCGGCTGGAAAATCGCAACTTTTAAGTACAAACGTAGTACGCGGAGCACACTCCCGCAGCTCCGGCTGGAAAATCACAACTTTTAAGTACAAAAAATAGTACGCGAAGTACATTCCCACAGCTCCGGCAGCACTTGCTCAGAGCAACTTGCGCAGAGCAACTTGCGCAGAGCAACTTGCACAGAGCACTTGCACAAAGCACTTGCGGAGAGCAACTTGCACAGACCAACTTGCACAGAGCACATGCGCAAAGCGCTTGCACGGAGCAACTGGCGCAGAGCAACTTGCTCAGAGCACTTGCGCAGAGCAACTTGCATAGAGCGCTTGCGTGCAGCAGCTTGCAGAGAGGAACTTGCGCGCAGCAGCCTGGAACGATGCAGCTTGCGCAGACCACTTTCGTGAGAAATCGCGCGGCGCAGTTCGTGCAAAGCACATTGCGCCGAGCAGACTCGCGCAGAGCCAACTTGCACAGAGCCAGTTGCGCAGAGCCACTCGCGAAAAGTAGCTTGCGTAGACCCAACTTTCACAGAGCCAAGCTGCGCAGAGCCATCTTGCACAGAGCTAAGTTGCGCGAGCGTGCTTTGCAGAAACTGTGGCCGTCGTGTAAGCTTTGCTATTGATTGCTCTTCCTTTTGCTTGTAATTCGTTTCGAGCTTTACGAGCTTTACTCTTCTTGTTTTAACGGATGTAAATATGTGGGATCGAGCACTGCCATGTTTCCTCTCGTAGGACGATGAGATGGAGCTCTCATGTGACCATACGCATTGAGCATCGCCGCGCGCGGACACGCTCGCCGCAGCGATGTAAAAAGGTGTCTCCGCGGCTGGATGAGCACCTGGGGAAAAATGCTTTCGGGCCAATCGTCCTCTAGTTTTGGTTTCTTTTGATTTTCCTTTTTGGTATCCATGGAAAAAACCATCGATCAAGCATCCTTTCTGTCTTCTGGCGACACGGATCAGAGTCCCACCGTCTTGCAGCGGGGCACTTTGCCCCAGCCTGCGGTGGACGGCCTGTGACCGAGGGGCGGTCCCTGGCTCCCCGTCCCTCCCGCCCCGAGCTCTCAGCTTCCCAAGCAGCGAGTCGACTTGGGGATTGGATCTGGTGCTCAGGATGGCAAGAAGCGAAGTACGCAACAACTTTGCAAGTCGCCCCAGGGAGCCTGCAGAATGCCTAAAGAGCAGAGCCCAAACGCTTCACAGGTTCGCAAGGCCATTGTGCCTCTGGGCAGTTTCGGATGGATGGCGTCTCGGGCTTGCCAGTGCGGACAAGCTTTTGCCTGACGCTGATAGAGAAAAGACATATGGATGCACCTTCCTCGTTTAACCAGTCTTGTTCGCCGCGGCATGCCTGCATTGCTTGGTGCGCATCGAGCGCCATCTATGTACACCAAATGCTGGAAGCCTTCCAAACAACCTTCGGGCGAATTCACGGAGATGTGAAGTCACGGCACATCCCAGACAAAATACACAATGACAATGAGCAGGGTGTGAGCTTTCATAAGGGACCCTTGGGTGCACATCAGTTAGGTGGGGATTCATGTCCACCAACCACTTTGGAGGTGGTTCCCTATTGGAATTCATGACCAGCCGATGTTTGTAGCTTTCCTTTCTATTTCTTGTGTTTATTGTTTCCTTTGTTCCCGGTCAGTGCCTCAGGGTCCAACCAATATACAAACTGTAAAGTCATGTAAAATATACTAGAGGTTAATAATAAATAGCTTTTACAACTGTTCGCAATCATTTTATAATTGACATGGAAAGATAAAAATAAAGACGTCTAATCCTAGGTACATCCTCAACAGATAAGAACTCACATAACTTTTCTATGTGGAATCTTATTCTCTTCACCTTGAGTTTTTATTAGTTGCAACATATTAAAGAAGTTCTCTTTTCTGTAGCTTCAATATCCTGTAAGCCGTGAATTGTCTCCTTCTATCACCATCTAAGCCGTCTATTGGTCATTGGGGACGTCTATCATCACTTCGTACTCCAGTCAACCCTTCCTTTCGTACACCATCAATCTCAGAGATGAACCACTATTACAGAAAGGACATGACGAAGGAATGGACGGGCTGGAGTAGGAAAGGTTCATCACCCATTATTCACTCCTGTTCCTTCCGAGACAGACAGGTGCTCAGGAACAAAATGAATGAGATGAACCTGTCCTTTCCTTTCCCTTCCTATCTCCTTTCGTTTCCTCTGTCGATCCCTTGCTTCGCTCGTGAATCCAGATGAAGCGAGGAGATGCAAGGAGACGAGGAAAGGAGAAAGGAAAAGATACAAGTGAATGGATCTCTGTCACCTCCTCTCTTCACTCTGTTACATTTGGAGGTGTCTGAGATAGAGATCCGTTACACACATTCCTTCCTTTCCCTTCTTTCCCGTCTATATCCTCAGCATCTGGGATAATAGACGACAAAGGGAAAGAGGGAATGAAGGTAACTAGAGATGGAAGGAAGTGGGTCATTATGAAGACAGACCAAGCACTTCCTCACCATCCAGAAGTTACATGCTATCTCTTTATCTTCTCCATCATGCCTCTTTTCATCCCCTTCTTGATTGGGGCTGAGGCATGTGGATGAAGAAAGAGATCCCATTCCCTATCTGTCACCGTGATGATAATAGGTGGTGAATGCGGGAGACCCTTCCTTCTAACTCCCTAAATCTCAGGGACGGAGTGGGGACGGAGTACGAGATGAAAAGGACAGGGCACATCCTTAGGCGAGAGCTCGTAAATAAGAAATCTCTAGAACTCGCCTCTCCGAACTCGCCTCTCCTTCCCACCCACTCACTCATTCCTTTCGTATTCACGGTTACCTCGCTACCTCCGTTCAACCGTCAATCTCTGTCAAGCGAGTGGGACTAGAGACGAGCGAACTAACACACTTTCACCTCCGTCCGCTATCATCTCACCCTAACAGCGGCCGGGAAGCCGGGAAGCATCTTAGAAGTCTTTATGTGGCCCGGCTTCTCCCTTTCCTTTTTCATTTTCATACTATATCTTCCTCATCAAAATGCAAAGAGAAGCATTTGGGGAAGATATGAATAAAGAAAATAAAAAGAAAGGTAAAGAGATGAGACCAGCCAAGAAGAGAGAAATGGCTGGTGAGTGATATCTCTTTCATTCTCTTTTTGCGCCCTTCCAAGAAGCTCCCAGTGCAAGGTCTCGCCTTTCCGGCGGGGCCTCAAGGTCTCGAGGTCTCGCGCGCTCATTCCACCTCCATGGAGCCGCTGCCAGTCTTCTCCACCTGGCATCTGACGACAGGCCAGCCTCACTTGCGGCTCCTTTGCCTTAACGACAATTTCAGAACCGATTCAACAGAAGGGTGACTGGTTGTTTCGGTGAGAAGCACCCATGTGACTGTGATTGAAGTGCAGGGCGATCAAGCAAGCAGCATGCGGCCATTGCGAGAGACTAGAAAGCGATTGAAGGACCCCCTACCAGTCATTGTGACATTGAATCAGTCAAGGCATCATTTGAAGGCAGGCACCTTCGCAAACATTTAGCACAGGTCGGCATGTCCTGTGTCACATGAACTTACGACGACCAACTCAGGTTCCTTCCAAGCATGTGTATATATATATATATATATGTAATGGGTGTCTCAAAATAGAGGACCCCTCCAGGTGGTGCCCTTTCAGCTTCCTTTCAAAACCATCCAAAACGGCAGAAGCAACGATTGACCCGCCGGGGCGTTTGGTGGCCAACAGCTCTCCCGCCTTGACCTTCTGCCGGCTCTTGGCCTTGGTGGAGCCAGCAAACTCCTGACAGCTCGATTGCGAAAGCCACTTTTGGGTCAATGGCTGGATCTGAGGGTTGAGGTTCTCTGGGGGCCTAGTTGGCCAGGTTGGGGGTCGGTGTGCCGCATTGCCAGCATCCCCAGCATCACCGGCCTCGCTCGGATTGGGGTGTCAATTGGCTTTGATTTGGTGGCAGTTCAGAGTTGCTCCGGGCTAGTTTCGGGTGAGTGTTGGGCTTGCTGCGGTCTTGTATAATGAGGGTGTTTGGGGTTCATTTGGGCTTTGAAAAGGGCTGATATCCCGGATGCTGCTTGGAGGGGGTACGGTTGACTTTGAGTCGGTTTGGGTTGGCTTGGAGCTGATTTTCGGCGAGGTGTGCGGCCCGTCTTTTGCACTAGCCTTTGGGCTGCTTCAGGGCGTGGTTGCGCAAGTTTTGGGCTGGTTTGAGTGGTTTGGTGCCACAACCATTCCCGAAGCAGTCCAAAAATTGCGGAAGCAGCCCAAAGGCTAGTGCAAAAACCGGGAAATCAGCTCCAAGCTAACCCAAACCGACTCAAAATCAACCTTAAACCCTCCAAACAGCATCCATCTCAGCCGCCTAGATGAACCTCAAACAAACCCAAGGTCCTCATCATATAAGACCGCAGCAAGCCCAACAATCGCCCGAAACAAGCCCGGAACAACGAGCGAGGCTGGTGATGCTGGGGATGCTGGGGATGCGGCCAACCAACCAACCAACCGACCAACCAACCAACCAACCGACCAACCGACCAACCAGTCCCCTGGCCGGCCGAGCCAGGGCTAGTAAAAAAACAACAACACCGGTTCCGGATCTGAGTCATAGTCAATACCCGGTAGTAAAATCATGTGAAGAATTAGGAAGGCGGCCGCAGCTATTTATGGTTGGGATTGTCCCTTACTAACCTTCATTTACTGGTTGACATACAAGTGAATGTCAAGATGTGATTCAACATGCTTCTGGCCCAACGGATGAAATCCATGCCGAGGATTTGAGTGCTGTGGTCGGCTTATTCCAGACATATTCTGACATTTACTCGTGGCGCAAGACTGGGTGCCTCTACATGTCTAGATGGGCACCGCTGTCTGATGCCACTGTGATTCAGCAGGACTATGATGCTAAGCTGTCACAACATGTCCTGCCTGAATCAGGCCAAGGTCGCTGGGCACATGAATTTGAAGACTTCAACTTAGTCCAGACAAACACTGCCCCCAGCGAAACCTCGAGCTCACAAACCGCGAGGTTTGTCGCGGGCTCTCCGTCCTTCTGGTAGAGCAAGGCCTTCTCTTTGTTGGGACCTTCCAAGAGGTGCGCGCTTTTCGCCTCGGCATTCGGATTGGACTGCGCCCGTCCAAAAAACATCACCAAACATGGGCAGTGCGTGCATCGCAAAACGGACCAAAGAGGATCCTTGGCAGCCAATTTGCCTAAATCAACAAGCTGGGGCTGTGACAATCTCCTTCTGGGCGCTGGTCTGCCTTTTCCTGACGGCTTGCAAATCTGTTACAGACAGCAAAGGGCACGCGGGCAAAGACCGTGAAAGGGAAACTGCAAGCAACTGACACCACAGCAAAGAGTCCTGAAACAAATTTTGTGATTGAAACTCATATCCGCACAAGTCAACGTGCTGTGCGAAAACGACCAATTGCCGAAGCCCAATTGCCGAAGCCCAATTGCCGAAGCCCAAGGTTTGGTCAGAAGTTCACAAAACAACATTTCACTGAACTCAGGGGCGTCGGGTCATGTCTCACAGCCCTCTTTGTCGGCCTGAGCTGCGCGGCAAGCCTCGCCTTGTGAAAGCGCCTGAGTGGACGCTGCGCAAGGCAGCTGCGCACATTTGGGGTGTTCATCAGAAGGTCTCATGAAAATGCGAGGACAGTGGTTGGAAAACCACTACAAAACTGATATTTGCCACTAAATGGGAAATATAACACCCGTGGTCATTTGGGGGCCTTGTCGGGAATATTGATCAAGCCCCATCTGTGCACAGGCAGGCCGCAGCCCGTCTTGCTACCCACAGGACATAGAGACGCATGCTCAGCAAATCAATCGGAGCCAATCTTCCTGATCTGAAGGTGGCAGGATCTCGTTCTCACAGGTGATTGTCGAGACCACATCAACAATACGCACAAATCTAGTAGCAATCATTCAATGTTCCATGTTCCGACATGTTCTCCGCGAAGCGGAAGAAAACAAAAACCCTGGCCAACCAACGCTTTGGCGCCGCACTCCTTCCGAACTTGCCGGATCCTTTCGACGATCTGCATCGCCCTCACCTGAAGCCAGGCTCTGCTCTCGCACCGGAATTCGGAGCCCTTGCCAGGCCAGGAATGATCGCGCACTTATGAAAACAGATGCGAGGGCAGGCGAAGGCGTGCTTGACGCAAAAGAACGCGTGAGCGGGAAAAGCCAAGTGACAAAAACACAAAATAAATCCACAAACAAAAAACAAGAAAACACAAAAGATTGAAGTCAACGCCTACGCGAACTTGAGGCGGCCGCCGTCTTCACCATCAGATTTCGGTTGTACCTGACAAAGCCACGAGAGCTCCGAGAAATCGACAGTGGCGTTTGGCTATGCGGTGACTCACATTGGAAGTCATAGAAAAAAGACACAAACTCTGGAGGTGGAACAAAGAACTTGAGACGCAAAGGCCACCAATCCTGGTGCATTTCTGCAAGGAATGAGCTGTCCACTCTCTCGTAGGTGCTGATCCCGGCCTTGTTGGCGTCAGGCGCTTCTTCTCGAAGTTGAAAGTGGAATCCACCACCATCTCCTTTCCACGAGCTCGACGATAGGCCTGCGGGCGGTGTGTGTGTGGTTTGTTTTTTCCCGAACTCGGTGAAAAGTGGGTGTCCCCGTTCGTTTTTTTGAGGGCCACCCTGTTTTGCTGATTTTGAAAGGAAAACAAAAGGAAGCCGCCTGTTTGGAGGGTCCCCTATTTTGAGACAAACCCAAGTGCGCAAAGTGTGACTATGTATCAAGCACACTGGACATGAAAAAGGGAATTGTCTTGTCTCCGCTTATAAACTTCGCGCAAGTTCAAGCGGCAAGCAGATCGAGTTCAGCACCAAGCTTCAATCGGACAATTAGAAACGAACGCCAAAAAACTACAACTCGGGTCAGTGGCAGTGGCTCACAAAACACATAACAACATCACTCTTACCATCCCCAGACTGGAGGTGATCTCGCGAATGCCGACCTTCCATTGATGACACCACCCCCCAATACAAACCTATCTACTGCTGAGGCATGCAGCAATAATAGAAGACACACCGTGGCTGCGTGTTGCCAGCATGTCACGCCAAAGGCAAGCTTACGGCTGCCCGCAGACCATCCGTAGCTTCTCAACGGCACAGCCAAACTCACTATTCATGGCTAAAACTCCACCAAAGGTAACTGGGCTGTCCTCAGATCCCCTGCTAAAAGCTTAACTCTTAGTGGGAAAAATGGGGAAACTACCATTAAATCAACTATCAAGCTCAAAAGCTGAGGAACCGGAAACCTGGGAACCAAGGTAACTGTCTCTCGCGCAAAGCTAAGGAACGTGTCGTGCCGAAAGCAAAAAACACGCTCCCAGAGCTCTCTCTGAAAAAAGCGGCGAGCGGCGCACGACGACGCCTTGGTCCACTTCAGCTTCCGGGGGTTGTGCTTCATCTTAAAGTGCTTGTGGCACTTAGAACCTGTCCACGTGTCAACGTGTCAAGCAGGGAACCAGAGCAACCTGCGTGAAGCAATGCAATGGAACCAGAGCCACAAGCAAGGCATGAAATAATGCAAGGTCAAAGTGAAAAAATCAGAAAGGAAGTCACTTGGACCTGTCACTTCTCGTGTGTGTCATAAAGCAGGCAAAAAGTGTTCGCTGACAAGATTCAGCTGATTGTGGCTTCAAAGAGCAAGCACACAGAAACTAGGGGTGATTGCAACAAGAGCACTCTCTCCCAAGGTGCCGGCGACAAAAGCGGAAGGTCTTGCAGTCGTTGCGCACAAACCTTTCTGGGCATCCGTCAGCATTCATGAAGACAGCCAGCTCGTTCAACCATTCAACAAACTGCATAGGTCAAGCTATGGGAATGAACTCAGTGTCTTCACGCCATCAGACTCTCGAATACAAGTTATGGCCAAGGGGCATAATGCCATGGCCAGGATAGACGCTGCTGGAGCAAAACCAGCACCTGGGTGGACAGCCGCCGATTTGTTTTCTGCCCTTCCGCTTTCTCCCATACAATTGCACACTGGGAATCCGGCTTCTCGATCCTCATGGCTACCTGTCAGAAGAAGGCAGCCAATGCAGTGCAAATAGAAATAGCAGCGTCCTTCAGAGGGCCTGGTGGCTTTCATCCTACGAACAGGGTTCCATTCTTCGGACAACGCAAAAGTGGACCTAAACCCAGGGGTGGTTGATTTCCCCCAAGGCAGACACAAAACGGATCCCTGCCTACGAATTCCCTTAAAGGAAAGCATAGGGGCTCATTCCTTCCCTGCTGAGAACCGGCAAGTTTTCTCAAGCTTGGAAGCTGGCCTGAGGTGCACAGGCTGCAGGTCAAGACACCCGAGCCACGCTGCGGTAAATAGGGCGACTGGTTCCACCCTCCTCGCATCCCCTGTTGTTGTTGACGTGGTTGCTCAGCCTTGCAGACCCTCAGCCTGAATCTCATGTGTGTTTTCACACAGCAGAAGTCTGCCGTCCATTTTCAGCTGCGCTGCAAGTCCGAAAAACACCAAAAGGGGAAGGGATGGAAGGAGGGGAGGGGAGGGGAGGGGAGGGGAGGGAGGGGAGGGGAGGGGGAGGGGGGAGGGGGAGGGGAGGGGGAGGGGGAGGGGAGGGGGAGGGGGAGGGGGAGGGGGAGGGGGAGGGGGAGGGGGAGGGGAGGGGAGGGGAGGGAGGGGAGAAAGAAAGAAAGAAAACAAGTAAGAACTAAGGAAATCAAAGACAACTAAAAAACAAAGGAAAAGAGATAAAAACAAAGAAATAAGCGGGGGGAAAACAAAAAACATAGCACGAAAACACAAGAAACAAATAACAAACGACAGACAGGCAAACAAGCACACAAGCATACAGGTATGTGGTTGCCCGCTAATTACGTCCTTCCGCAATGGCCCATCTTCGCAGAAGGATGTCAAACTGCATCCACAAATGCTGCGACAGCATATCATTGCAAGAACAGATTTCTCCGCATTTGACTACATAGTCTCAATAAGAAAGCATTATGTAGGTCTCCAGGCGTCCACGTTCGAAAGAAAAGCAGCCCCCCCTGTTCACATGAATGGGTACCACCAAAATAGAAACTTGCGAGGCAAAAGCAAACAAGGAGAAAGCATTGACATGGGAAAACTCTGCTACGTCTTGTTCTGGGATTTGAATTGAACATAACAAAACTCAGCTGCCGCTTTTCTGGTGAACCGGTGATAACTTGCTCCCATGCAGGGTGAGACCAGTCAACTCTGATTGGCCTATTTGGGCAATCGGAGCTGTCGTTGCGCACGACAATTACCAAACAAGTATGTTTGAGCTTACAAACTTGATGCGACACTAGACTCTTGCGATGATTTGTTACACCTCCAAATTCAAAAGGTGAAACGCCAAGCGCTGGCGACTCCGCTTGCAGAGTCGCAACTCGGCTTAGAAAACCGTTGGTCATCTGTAGTCTGGGTTGGCAGCTCTCTCCTTCACATGCACTGCTTGCACATGATTTGCCCAGTTCAATCTGCCGGTTGATGAGACCGAGGGTTCCAAAATGTCGGAATCTGCCATTTTGCACATCTGCTAAATATGTGTTTCGCCGAGCGGCAAACAAAAAGCCGCAAATTCTGATGCCATGCACGATAACCTTTCTGCTTGGCTGCCGCGACTTGACTGTCTGAGCCAACTTGCCCCATTGCAGCAGCATTTGGCTGTGGGTCAAGAATAGGTACCACAAATGGAACCCCGTTAAATGGAAAGAAGGACTAAAACCAGCGGTCCCCTGGTGGTTTAATTTTGACCCATACCCATTTTGTTGCGGGTGTTGGGGCAACATGTTTAGCTACTACGCACGTGCTTGGGATAGTCAAACAAGTTTTAGAATATCTTGAAACAAAGGACACATTTTTTTAGATCCCAAGCAACTATTTAAGCCACCACGTCCCACACGCATTGCCCCCTCCCCCCCCCCCCCAAGCCCCGGTCACAAGCACGGCCACCCCTTCCTCATGCAGCTGCACAAAGGATGGGAAGGTTCTTTGCCGCAGGCGGTCCAATTCCTGGGGCGGCTCTTGGGGCACTCACGACAGACTCACTGACAGACTTACTGACAGACACTCACTTACCAAGATCATCTAATGGCCATGGGTCAAAATCCAAATCGTACACCCAGTGAACATCCCCATCCCCACTAAAATAGGTTCTACAATGGGTGGTGAATTCACCTACCCCAAAATGGGATCCAAAACGGTTTTGACCCACAGCCATTTCAAAGAGGAGAGCTCCATGATTGTCTATAAAGAGGATGAGGAGCTGCGTATCTATGAGGAAACGCGGGTCAACTTGGAATGAGAGGTTAGGTACACACGTGCTCCATCCATACAAGCCATGGTCAATACCATTCATATTGGAATACTCTTAGTCGTTTTGGCCAAAAACACCTTGATTGGTTCGATCCTGAAAACCTAGATGTCTTTGCTCCTTGCCACCTTCAGGGTCATATTCACTTGCCTCACCAGCACCTCACCGTCTTCTTGTCTGCATTAAATGGAGAACCCTTCCTAGCATCCCGCTTCTCACTGCTGCGCCTTGTGAAGAACTTCGATCTCCTCGGTGTTCTTCTTGGCCTGAGGCTCCCAAGAGACATACTGCAGGCGCACAAGGGAGACCGCCAAACCCGCCAAACCCGCACAATCCCCCCCCCCTCTCCCCGCCGAACAGGGAAAACTCCCAGCGCATTTATCGGGATATCCAGGAAGGACTTATTTTGCTGAACGATTTGTTTTGCCAGCAGCTGGTGTTTGGCGTGAGACGGTTGCTGGGCCCCATGCAGCCTCCATGAGTCTTTGGCGGCTTCGCAACTGGCCAGCGCTCTGCCACAAAACTCTCTGGGATGAAACGCGTTCTCACCCCTGGCGAATGGACATACTTCGAAAAAGGCGGTATTGATTCCACAACCGCGGTTTGATTTTACGAACCACAACAATTGGATGCCTTGCAAAGGTGTCATAGACACCTCCTGGTATGTCCTCTGCTCATCACAATCACGAGCATTTCGATCTTGAGAGCTCGGGGTAGAGAACGGCTTGAACCATACATGGCGTTTGCCTTGCCTGGAGCAAAAGTGCACATGTGCAAAGCAAGAGAGTAGGGGAAAGAGACAAAGAGAAAAGAGAGAAAGAGAAAGAGACAGAGAAAGGAAAAACAGAGAGAGCGAGGGAGGGAGGGGAGGGAGGGAGGGGAGAGCAAACACAGCTCATAAAGACCATCTGGGGTGCAACAGGGTGGACTGGCAATGGCGCGACTCCAGCACCTCTTTGAAGGCAGCGCGCGCTGCTTTGGCCGCACCCTCATCTTCCTGTCAAGGCTTTAGACCCAAACGGCCTCCAGGAGAGACACGTCCCTTTTGAGCAAGAATCAGGCTGGAGGCACCTTGGGTTGAGGTCAATTGCACTTGCTGGTTAAGAAGCTATTTCGGATCGGGAATGGCATGGAATGGCAAACCGATTCCCTAAGCGTAATCCAGGGGTCAGTATTTGGACGGTTTCTGGTGATCAAAGTCAGACATGGGGTTTGTTTCCCTTGAACCCACCGCGACTTTGACCATGGTAAAATAATGAGGCCAGCAGTTATTGCGGGAAATGTCGGGGGCGGGGGTACACATCGCCGGCTCAAAGCAACAAGTGCTGTTTGCCATGCAGTGCGGCTCCCCTCACCCGAGCCGGTGGAAACTATCCATTTGTTTTCCGGAAAGTAAGGTCGCTCTGAAATGCCCTCCAACTTGAGCCATGGAAGCCAGAATAGACAAAGTTCAGGCTAGTGAAACAAACAAAAAACGTCGCCCTCGTCACTTCTTCTTTGGCAACTTGTCAGAGAGATCGCTTTCTCGCTCCTCCGCGCGGCCAGAGGCGTTCTTCTGGGGCGAGGCTGCGGGGCCCCGCAGGCGCCGGATGTGCTCACGCTGGATGACGTTCTGCTGCAGCTCCCGCAGCTTCCTGGCCGATGGCGAAGGCGATCCGAGCGAGGGAGCGAGGGAGCGGCTCACCAGCCCACCAGTTGGCACGGCAGCTGGGGAAGGGATCTGCACCCCCAAAGCCGAAAGTGGCTCTGGAGGTCTCCAAAACCAAAGATATGGACATAGATTAAAACCAATGGGATCCCATTTTGTGGTGTTCGGTGCACCCATTTTAGAACCTATGTTAGTGGTTGGATTGGTTGATGTTCACTGGGGGGGGCTAACCGGGGTTTTGACAAGCCCATGGCCAGTTCCCCTCGAATCTCAGGTGACTCCGTGGTTCGGAGCCCGGCGGCTTGGAGGGGGAAGCTGAAAATCAGAAGGCTCGGGTCCAGGCGGGTCGGTGGTGTGCCTTGGCCTCTGAACATAGTCGACTGAAACTTGGCAAGGGTGTTTTCTCTCGGAATCCCAGCTGCGCTACACCCTGTTTTATTGCAAAGGCTGCAAATGAACAGGCCAGGCTGACTTCTCCAGCATGCCATTCTCGTTTTTTCCTGGTCTCATCAAACAGGTGGTCGACAAATGCCATGCGACAAACTGGTCAACACAACAATGATCCGCTCCGAACTGCTTGTAGAGATCTCTGCGACCCTGCGCGAAACGCAAAGTGACCTCTGGGAAACTCGGGATCTTCAGGTTCCGGCATGACATGTCCTTTGCTGGCTTGTTAGCAGAGTACTGCCCCCAACCCCGTCTACGGCCCTGGATCCAGGCAGTTGGGCAAGGCATAACATCTTGCAGTGAGATTTGACGGTCGCTCAGTCAGCCAGCCAGCCAGCCAATCAGTGTGCTGTTTCTTCTCCCCATGCTCACGGCAAAACATCCCTTCACAAACGTGTTGAAATGCACAAGGGACATCAACCTCGAGCAACACTCTCCATCCGCCCCGCACTCTCCGACATCCGACCCTGCAGCCCAAGTGGCGGAGCTTGGCAGCGTGGGTCAGCATCGAGTGCTGCTTCTTCAGCGCCTGCGAATGGCAGTGGGATGGCTAGCCCGCTTCGTTTGAACGGGGATGGCTAGCTTTTAACGGCCAGATATGTTGGTAAGAGCAATGCTTCTCCGATTGCCATAATCTTCCATGCACCATGGCCCCAAATCAACAGTTTGGAAGTCTGCGAGTCTTCGTGGCATGCAAAGGTAGCAAACAGCACCTTGGAAACAATTTTCATGATGAACGCAGCAGCGGTCACCACGTAGAGAAGAGGATTGGAGGATGAATTCAGCATTGGACACTGACGACGGCTTGCAAGTATCGTACCTGCCTGCTCCTTCTTCTCGGTCGCCTCGCTCAAGTGCTCGATCTTCCCTGTGCAGGCGATTTGAACATCCATGCTCACCTTTTCCAGCGTGTTTCAAACTCGAGGGGGATGGATTCCAAGCCCCAGCTGAGCGCGGTGCTTTCCAGCAGGTCCGACTCTGCCTTGTTTCTGCCTCAGCCGGCTGTGGCAGTTCAAGAATCCGAAGTCAAAAAACTCAACAGGTCTACTGTTGAAGGTTCAACGAACCTGATTGAAACTTGACTGAGGAGGCACTCTGATTGAGCCATGTTTTGCTGCCCCTCAAGCTTTCATGGTGTTCCCTCCATGCGATAACTCACCCCCCCCGCCTTCCTCGCCGCCTTTGAGCAAAGATTGCAGATCCTGGCAATGAGAACCACGCGCCACATGGCCATGGGTCAAAATCCAAATCGTACCCCCAGTGAACATCGGATCCCACTAAAATACACCAAAATGGGTGGTGCACCTACCCCAAAATGGGATCCCATTGGTTTTGACCCACAGCCAAATCTCTGTTTAAACGATCTGGTTGCCCGCTCTCTATCTCTCTCTCTCTCTCTATCTCTCTCTCTCTCTCTCTCTCTCTCTCTCTCTCTCTCTCTCTCTCTCTCTTTTTCAGGTGTTACAACCTGGATATCAAATCCACCTCGAAGATGCTGTAACTGCCAGTTGTAATCCTATGTCACCGTGGCGCAAGTCAACTCTCGTGTTTGCGTGCCGCGCAGCCTGTATGGCCTGCATGTTTGCTATGTAGTGACTTGGCATGGTATGGTGCGGTACGTTGCCGTTTACAGCTGTTGTACGTTTGCTTGCTTGCTTGCTTGCTTGCCTGTGTGCTTGCTTGGTTGTGTGTGTGTGTGTGTGTTTTTTGATGTCCGCCCTTTGTCAGAAGATGTTGCACGAGGCATCGTGACAACCGTCCGGAACACGTCTACACCCAACGGTGCCAAAGGCCAGCGTCTTGGCTTCAACGCCCGTGCCGCTCCTTCGTGACACGCAACATGTGGACGTCCTTGGTCCTCTCCTGACAGCAAAAATCTGCTCTCGGCCTTTTTTTCCTGCCCATCCGGCATGCACAACGCGCGTGGTCCACTTTGATGTAGGTTCCACGCACAAAAGAAATAAAAACGGGGGAAAAAACAATTTAGGAAAAAGAAAAAGAAACATCCTCGACGACAAAAAAGCACTTATGTAGGTTCCAAAAAAACAAAACCAAAAAACAACTCCTCGAGAGCGAAAAAAATCGAGACAGTCGGGGCCTCCAAGTCGGTGGTTTGCAGCGATAGCATCTCGTGCTCCCAGTCCAGCAAGCTCAGGGACTTTCTGAACTCCTCGGATGAGCCCATGGTCTTGTTCGCATTGGATTCAACTCAAACTCAACAAATATCAAGTATGGTGAAATGGAATCAAGCAACATTCTGAAGTGGACAATACAAGTGAAAGCAAACCACATTCTGTAAACCAGGGGGAACCGTGCTGCGCCAAACACGAGATTCGTTGCCTTGGCGTTCTGCGTTGCTCAACGGGTCACGCGCGAGTTGCAAAGCCTTCCTATGCCCCCACCTGGCCTGCCACAACCTCGACACGGGATTTGCTTTCAACACAGCGAACCTGGTGCGCAACGCGACCAACGCTGCCAGCTCCTTGATCTTGGTGAGGATGTGAACTTTGTCCTTTCCAAGGTCCGTGATCCTCCTGTTGCGGGACTCCACCACCTGTTCAGCAGTCAGGAGTTCCCATCCTCTATCAAGCTGGTCGAACGCGCTGGTTGTTTTTTTCAGGAAATCAGCTGACAGCCCAGCCTCTTGGTTGATGACAATGGCGTCGGAGTAGTCGGTTACCACAGCGGCTTGCGGCACTTCGACCTGCGGAAGGGACTCCGCATTCAGGTCCGGAGATCACTGTGCTGGAAAGCGACATCCAACCCAATTCATCGAATCCCAAGCGAGCATCCGGCATCTGGCGGTCCTGGCCCTGCTTCAGCTTGAACAAGATCTCAATGTCATAGAGCTCCCGACTCATCAACTCCTACCGCACCGCAGAAATCGAACTGCTGGGGATTTGTCAATGGGTTCAAGCCCGCATCAACATCTTCAACACGCACTCAAAGCCCTTCTTGCTAGAATCCATGGCAGGACTCCCTGAATCCCAGTTGGGCATGCCGAGTCTGCTGTTCATTCAGACAGCTCAGATTGGCCCCGTGAGGCTTCGCAAAGCCCGAATCTCATCGAGTCCAAACATCCAAACGAAGCGAGATGTCAATCCAAATTCCATCCAGAGAAAGCTGACAAGAACAAAACAAGAGCAAAAAGCCTGATCTGATTGCTTTGTTCAATACTTGAACTGTTGAACTGCACGCATATGTGCACCACTCTTTGTCCACTGGTTTCCTTGTTTGCAGCCCTTTCACGTGCCAATCACAGGCCTTTGGCGATGCATCTGTTTCGCATATACATTGTGCAGCTGCATGCCCTGCAGTCAGCCTGGCCTAGCGCTGGTGCATATATGAGACTTTATGACGACCGCCAGTGCCAAGCTCATTTGCACGTGCAGCGCTTGGGCGATTCATTGGAATAAATACCTGCTGGCTACTGGTCTTCTTGACATTTGAATGTGGGTCAACCTCTTCCCTTCTACCGCACAAAAACGAGATTCCGCGCTGAGAAGCTGCTTTCAAGCTCATCTTCCAGGTCCTTGTGCTCTCGGAGCTCCTTCTCAAGGCGATCCTTGTCGGCTTTGGCATCTGCGGACCTGGTGCCGGCGACGGACACGTCTTTGACGCAAAAGCCCTCGGGTCCGAAATGACATCCGGTTTGCTGATCATCTTTGACAAAAGCCCTCAGGTAATCATCCTGGTGAAGTCCCTTTGGAGTCAGCTTGCTTTTCATCACCATGGCGAAGTCACCTTTGTGAGGAAAAAAAAATAGTTTCGTTTCAGACTCCACGTCTTCTCCCCGTCTTCCGGTGTCCTTTTTCTGGGGCGTCGGCTCGCGCTCCAGGTGAGATAGGAAGCTGCCCATCTCGGTGAGAACCGTGGCCTCGGAGCTCGGGCTGTGGGTCCCATGAGTGAGCCCCAAGGAGGCCTTCGGGAGCACAAGCTATGCGCAAATCCACGAACTGGGAGCGTAGTCCCCACTTTTGTTTGGAGAAATTGGGCTCTTGACCACAAGCAAGCAACGCTGCAACAGCTGAAGTTGACCCCCAACATGTTGCGGGCCGGACTTGCCATGGTGCACGGGGTTGCTGTGTGTCCCCAATATGGTACGATGTTGACCTGGTAACCACGGATCTCCGGAGCACCAGTGCTGCCAGTCAGAATGGGTGTTTGCGCTGTGAAACTCTGCCGGCATTCTGTGAGATGCTTACTGACGAATCCATGAATCCCAAAATCTGAGATCCCAAAATCCATGAATCCATGCATCCATGAATCCATGCATCCATGAATCCATGCATCCATGAATCCCAAAATCCATGAATCCCCGCGAATCCGACAAAAAGCAACTCCCAGTCCTTCCCGGAACCCAGGGTCAGCGCCCGCATCGCGCCCGCCCGAGGCAAAGGCCCCTTTGGCCACCGCAGCCTCCGCCGTGAGCTTCTCGGCGCGCAGGTCCAGCATGCGCTTGAAGCTCTCCTGCCCAGCGTGAGCCAAGACTCGTTGACCCCGAGCAAGCGGGGCAGGCCATCCATCCCCCTGCTTAGGCCGGCAAGGCTGGCAAGGCTTGGGAGAACCGGGTTTGAGCGGGCATGGACCATGTGGGGCTTGCTTCGAAGCAAGTTGTCAGGCACCGGATTGCTTCAACGAATCGGTCGTAATAGCAGGGAAGACTGGCTGGAGTGCTGGAAGGGACCAGTATTGTCAAAAGTATCGGCAGTAATGATATTGTGTTTAAGGATGACGATCCGGGCGGTGCGGCCTTCTATCGAGGAATGCAGGAGTGGTAACTTGGCTTCTCATTTACAGCGCAAGTAGGACGGATGGCTCCGCTGACTTTCAGCCGCAACAACGGCATCCCGAAAGCCCAGACGTCTCTCACAGATTGCTGTGGGAACATGGCCGCGAGTGTGGGTGAACCCATTGCACCAAATCAAGGCAGGGAGGTGCCTGAAGTGACACTCATTGCCCGAAGGACCTGGAACTCAACAAAATCACCTGTTTGGGGTGCCATGGCGACATATGGAGCACAATAGGAAAATCCAAAGGTCACATCAAATGGCCATGGGTCAAATCCGTAACCCCCAGTGAACATCCCAATCCCTACTAAAATAGGTTCTAAAAATGGGTGGTGCACCTACCCCAGGGATCCCATTGGTGTTGACCCACAGCCAGATCGATTCGCTTTGGACTGCGGAAAGCAGTGTTTTTCTTGGTCCTCGTCCACACCTTCTGGACAGTCCTCGGCTCACAGCCAATAGAGAGCAGCCAAGAACAGAGTTATGGAGTTTTTTTTAAGGGGGGGTGGTCCAAGGGGGGGGACCCTAAGGCTCCCCCGAAGGTTCCCTAGGGAGCCTTAGGAAAGCCTAAGGAACCCTTGGGCTCTCAACTTGTACCTACCCCGCTTGCGGATTCCATAACAGAGCCGAGGCAAACTGTTGAGTCCAAAAAAACTGACTCGCCTAGATCGAGAGTTTTGTTTACTTGCGGCCAAGCTGCCTCAAACTTGATGTCGTCCTCCAGGATCTGCTCAGGAGCAGCCTTTTGCCTGGGACATATTCCAGCTTTTGCATTGGTACAGCAAGCAAATTGGAATTGCAACCAGGAACATGTCAGCAACCAAAGTTCATGAGAGGCTTCTGGCATCTGAAATTGGGGGTCTGGATATGTCCAGTTTGTCAGTGCATGGCAAAGGAAGGCCATGGCAAAGGTTGCAATGCAGTGAAGCTGTACAGAAACACAAGGGAGTAGAACACCGACTGCCAAAGAGGCAGAAAGAGATGTCACCACGGCGCTTCTGAAGGCCAAGGCTTTGCTGCGTCTCACATCTGCTTTGCACAAAACTGCTGTGCGAGCGTGCAAATTGGGGCGATCAGGGCCATCAGGGCAAATCATCTGGCTGCATCATGTTAGCCCCAGGGCAAACCTGGTCTGCAACTCCTGCGGTTCTGGCACATCTTCAAGCTTGAATGATTCTGCACGGAGCATGTCTGCAGTAGCAAGTTTCATTCCATGAAGTGCTGAATCATTAATGAAGATCGAAAAGACTGCACCTTCGAAATGGCAAACCTTAGTATCCTTCCGGTTGGATCATACAATGGTGGTTTACGTATGTAATTAGGCATCTTGAAAGGCATCACGAACGGCTTTAAAAACGGCTTTAAGAACCGTGCGAAGAAACTCACACGGCTGATGGGTTCCTTCTGGGAAAATACGCGTTTACGCAGCATAGGTGGCTTCCGCGGCGCAAATTTGTACCTGGGTCTCAAAACAGGGGAACCCCCACGTCGCGATGTTCGGTCCTCCAAACCCCAAGTTGGTGGCCTTAAAAATTGGAGCCTGCGATTTAGTGCCCGGCTCCACCCCGAGGTCAACGTAGGCTTCACCTGCCACCTGGCCATCTGAGTGTAACTCCTTTGGGAAGCTGTTGGTTGGTGTTGAAGGGAAACCAAACGAAAAACCGTTTGGCCATGTTGGGGCCTTCAAAAAAAATTATCCCATCTGCCACACCAACACTTTGGCAAAACACCCAACGGTACTGATGGCGTCTTTCTGAGTTTGTAGCCCAAGGTCAACTTTGTTCCCAGCACAGCGAGAATTGTGGGGGGGGGGGGGGGGGGGGGGGGTGGGGCACCCATGCCCCATGGCGCCCATGCCCCATGACTGAAACTACAAATGGTACTTTCTGTTGAGCTTTCTTCGGGTGTTGGAGCCAATTGGACAAGTACTGGCTTTTACACATGAGGCTTCTAGAGGCAAAATGGGAAAGGATACAACAAACATTGCTGGAATAGCTGAACAACATCCTGGAAAACTTGGGACATAGCATGTTCCCCTCAGGCTCGTTCTGCCATTGTTGCTTGTGGGGCCTCATACTGCACCGCTGGAGCTCAAATGTCGGGCGCGGTATCGGTTTGGTCGTAGTTTGAGACACATGTATGATTCTCAGACGCAGCCACTGGCTCAAGAAGCTGAGTTCAGTTGAGTCGAGTTGTAGCTACGACCAAAATGAGCAAACAATGACCAACATGATTCAGCAACTACGACCAAAATGAGCGGAGGAGGGCTGAACACGGCAAACACGTCCCCAAAACTGGCTACGACCAAAAATAACTCAGAAACTACGACCAAAATGAAAGGGCTACCTGCTGCTTACCCGCTTCTCTTCTCTGCCCGGTTGAACGCATCTCAAGCCTCCGATGGGTTGTAGGACGGAGCCCCCTTCGGCAACAAAATGCCTGTAACCTTCGTCGCCGAGTCGCCCGCGGAGAAAAACGGCGCAAAACAAGGCAAACGAGAGACAGGGTGGGGCCCAAAGGCTGCAAACAGTCCAAAATGGGATCCCAAAACGGTCTAACGACAACCACGGCCATTTCCATTACTACGGCTTAGCCTACGACACCAACTCCTCAAGGCAAATCGTCTCCGTGTCGATGGTCACATCTCTGGGCCACTGGGCACACAACTCGCCCAAATCCACAGGTCTTGGAGCTGGAGAAACGCACAGTTGCGCCCAAACGAACCCTGAAGCGGCGATACAACATCCGAGGGGAACCAAGCTGTCCATTTTCAACAAGGACCATTCACCTTGCGTTTAGTTTCTGGATGCACCTCATGCATACCGCTGCTATGTCCATCGCAAGATTGCATCCCCTTCTGGCCCACGAAGCCCCTGCGCTTTTGAGTTGCGCACGTGTGCGATTTCTCTCCAACCCAACTGGAAATGCAACTGGTTGCCGTCCAAATCGGAAATCAGGACGCTGGAACACCGAGCAGTGTGTGCTTCTCAGCTTTCCAGATGGAGCCTCTCTGGAAGCCCAAAGTGCGTGGCCAAGCAGTCCCCCCGCGAAAGGATTTCACGGCGGTTGCCCGTGGCCTGTGGACCATCGTCGAGATTCAGGATGGCAACCAACCCGGAAAAGAACACCTAAACCAAACAAAACAAACACAGGAAACAACATGTTATGTGAAAAAAATCGATACCCACAAAAAAGAGAGAGAGAGAGACAATAGCCACAACCACAACCACAATCAAACATCCTAGGTCAGCGTGAGCGCCAAGGCGGTTCTGTTTCGCCCACGTGATGCCCAGGGGCGCTCTTCCTCGCAGTGCGCCCGGCGTCGTCTGCCATGGACCTGGCCTCAGGAAACCGGCGCTCGTGCTGGCCGATTCGAGCAGTGTTTGAAAAGTATCTTAATCAGCCCTAGGTCCGCTGCGGAGCGGGCTTTAACTTGAGCCAAAACACAGAGTCGCACAACCGTGTTGGGCATATATGGAGCAACAATTTGTCACTCCTCCTTGCTGGTGGAGCAGCCCTCATGGGCTGATTACACAGCAAACTCCCAAGAACTCGTAGCGGAGCCTGGACCAGCGACCTCCAAGCTCACCCTGACTGCGCTCGACCAAGAAAACGCATCCTGATCTACACAAAAGTCTCTTCCGTCTGTACACCAGGCACGCTCTTAGTCAGCATGTCGGGACATGAATGACCTTAAGGTGGTCCATTGCCACTCGTTCCTGGAGGCAGAGATATCTGGTCTGGATATGTCTAGCTTTACCTAATCCGATCCTATTTACAGTACCCGTAGCAGCAGTAGCGTCTGATTCTACCACTACAGAGATGGGAACTTGAAAATCTTCGAACAAGGCTTGCAACCCTAGTCCTACCGATCCACCCTTCACCAGAGCGTAGTACTCTAACTCGGGCAATCGTTGACTGTTCTTGACCAAACGCATAGCCGCTTAGATGCCTCAGTCGGTGCAACCATCTTCCTTGAAAGGTTCTTCACAGCAGGACTCACATCAGGCCAAATGTGCTGCTCGCATAACACACGACCGATACATGGGTGCCATGTCCTTCGGAAGAAGTGGACTGTTGGCTTCCATCATCTGCACATCCACAGACTTCTTCGCATCAAGTGTCTCCACACCCTTTGCGCTGGCCACGCCAAGCTGTTGAACTAGTAGATCAACACGCCGTCTGTCAGGTTCCAAGAAAATGGCACTAGATCCTTGGTGAACTCCACAACGGATCAACCGATTCAAGAAGTGAACCTCCTTGTTGTAATCGACAACAACTTCGTGAGGGGACGCTCCAATGGTTCTGTCTTCTGCCACCCTGGCGCTACCAGAGTACTCGTGCATGGGGATGACTTCATCTTCAGCGTTTGAACGATATCCTCAAGAAATGGCTCGGAACTTTGCCGGTGCGTCCTGCGTGCCATACATCGACTTCTTCAGCAAACCTACCATGCCATGGGCATCCTGCTCTTCAGGCAACTCGATGTAGATCTTCCGCTTGGGCGTCCCATAAAAGTGAGCTCTGGAAATGTCCCACAGTCCAATCTTCAGAGGTTTCCCCTTAGCGGAGACTTTCTCCGTTGCCCACAAGCGGCGTCGAGCTGAACAGTAGGTTGCCTTGATTTCTCGAACAACCAATCTTGATCTAAAGTTCGGGTGCGCTAGGTCCCCTTTACTGGCATCGCGCGCCAATAGGCTTGCGTCCGCCGGTGTCCTGGAGGCACTGCTCCAGCGGGACCTTCGGGCTTCCATTCACCCCAATCCGAATGGTCCGAAACCACCGGGTTTGGCTCCTTGCTCTCAAGCTCCTTGAACTCCTTCTTAGGCTCCTCGGCTGGCTCCTCCGGAGCTGGCTCGTCTGGCGACCAGTCCGGTGATGTGGGAGAGCCTCTCCACCTTCTCCTCGGCCCTTTCTTCGGCCGGTTCCTCTGCGGCTGGAGCCTGCCGGGGGCCCTTCCCGGCTGAAGCTCCTCTACGCCAGGGAGGAACCTCCCTGGTCCTGGACCTCCCGCGGCCGCTGCGGAGCGGACTTTTACTTGAGCCAAAAACACAGAGTCGCACAACCTCTACAAGCGTATTGGGCATATATGGAGCAACAATTTGTCAATGTTGGCTGTGGCTCCAAAACACGGACCCCATATGGCCAGGTAAGAGCAATATTGGCAGAGTATGTTAGTTGAGTCATCATCACACCCCGGCATTAAAATGGTCGACCCAGAACCGTCACAATCAAAACCCGGTATTAAAATGGTCGTAATCCCAGAACCATGCTTCAAGAAATAAGAAGGCGGCCGCAGCTATTTATGGTTGGGATTGTCCCTTACTAACCTTCATCTATCCGGGTTTCGATTTGGCTCATTTGGTGCTGGGATGGTTGCTACCGAAGGGTGGCCAATTGGATTCAAGCGTGCCCAACATAGGATACAAATCAATCGCACATTGAAAATGATGTGACTTTGGGGGATCAGCCCTGTTCCCAAAAATGACGGCAGTGGCAGTCAAGCATATCCGTGGTGCAGTGGTTTTGCATGATCGCCAGAATGTGCACAAACACCAACATCGAGACAGCGGGTCTCAACACCAAGTTGCAAGAGCATTCAGCTTCTATTTTGCAGGGGGGGCCCATGTCGCCGCAATACACGAGTCGTTCAGCCTAGCCCCCTCCTATGGCATATCCGACAAGAAGTCTTCGGCCTGGGGTTTCCGCCAGAGGCTGAGGTGCCGGCGCGCAGCAGATCCTTTTGTCGCTCTTTCTCCGGCTTCTTTCTGAAGAGCCTGAGTTGGCCATGGGTCAAAAGCCAAATCGTACTCCCAGTGAACATCAACCAATCCCCGGGGTTTTTCCCCGCAGTGAACATCCGATTCCATCCAACCACTAAAACTACCCCAAAATGGGATCCCACAGCCCGTTGCTTGGGCCAAACGGCCTTTCATGCGCGCGCAATCTGTATGCCACTGGCTGACTCGTGCTTGCCATGACCCTTTGAGACTTGGCCACGGAAATGAACAGAATCCGCAGAAAGACAAAGAAGCAGGACGAAAGACGAACTCCCAAACACTTAAACTAGACAATACCTCACCCACCGCTTTGCACAGTCGGTCAGAGTTTAGGTGCCGCACTGCAAGAGCGCCGTGATGGCCTGAGAAACGGTTTTGCGGCGACCGTAATACTTTTCGGCATCGCCTGTGTTAAAGCTCGTCTCATGTTGCTGGGGTGACGAAAGAGTGCTTTGAAGGGAAAGCAAAGGGACGACTTTGGGCTTTGCGTCTTGAGACAGAGCTTGCAGATTGACCACACTGCTTGTGCTTTACAGAGTAGGGATCAATTTTACTGGACCTGAAAGGGATTTAATAGGAGAAAGGCCAAGGGAAACGACAGTCAAAAGTCATCTGGTTCCGAATTTTCCTCGTGGCTGCCCCTGCTTGGTTGTCAGTGATGCATTTTTCCGCGCAACTCCAGGCGTCTAGAACGTTGCCGACTATCATAGAACCGGCGACCCGCGCAGCTCGCGCCCGCGCAGCTCGCGCCCGGGCGTTTAGCGTCACGCCGCTTGAAAGCGGTGCATCTCTCGGCTGCGCCTGGAAGGGAGCGACTTCTGGTCGTCTGACGCGGAGTCGTCCTCAGCTTCACAAAAGGCCTCTGCCCACGCAGATCTGGGGCGTTAGGTTCACTGACCTGACAAGAGTTGTCCCCACTTCCGCCCAACTCGGCCGCACAGGTGCGGCTTCTTCTTGTCGCGGAACAAGCCGAGCTCCGAAGTGATGTCACCGCTCAAGATGAAGCTCGGAAAGCTTGTGCAACCGCACAGGGTACCCATTTTCAGCAGCATGATGCCGGCATTGTAGTGAAATGACATGTGGATCATCTCGATATCGGGTAGGCATTACATGGAAAAGTACTGCGGCACGCCCCAAGAATCCGGGCTTGGCAAAATGGAGCTTCTTCTGGCTCTTCTTGATCGCCCCCTCGTACTTGGGACCAAGGATCTTGCGCCAGGTCACATTGACCGTGAACAGCACGTCCACGTACGCATAGAAGATGAACTCGTACAAAAAGAAACAGGATGGGCAAATCAATTCGGAGGCGGGTGCTGACTGACCACAGCGTAGCGTCGCTGAGAAGGTGTGACGGTTTCTTGTCCTTCTTCGTCCGGGCGTTCCTAAACACAACTAATGAGGTCAGTCAACCTCCCTGGGGGAGAAAAGCCGGCGGGCGAAGTTGCGCAGACTTGCAGTGGATTGAACTGAAGAGGCTGCAAGGCGCAGGCAAGAGCCGTTGGATGCAAAGATGCCAATTTTGTCCGCAGCCTGACACTAAAAGACTTAGCCTCTCTTCAAGATTAATTAGCTGGACTCCAAAAACTATGCATGATCAGGTCTTGCAAATCTCTGAGCTAGGGACGTTTGCCTCCAAGGTGGAGTTGGCAAAAGCTTGCCGGAAGTGCTGTGCCGAGGACACCTGTGCTAGTCACACGCACACTGGGAAGGACCGCAAAGGAATCAGCTTGACGGTGTGTGAAGGAGTTGAGCTGATCATAGGGCCAATAGAGGGCTCTGCGAACAAAGGCAAAAGAACACTGCATGATCCAAAATCAGTGCCCTGTCCGGACTGCACTAAAGTACTAAAGCATCAGGCATGAGTCAGCTGCAAAGCGGATCAGGCACCAAGCTCCTTCTGAGCCTTAAAAGATGACCTTGCTCTACATCTACGCGCTTGATCCCCCCTCCCCCAGTACGGCAATCCCCCGATGATTTCATCACGCGCCTCTTTCTCGTAACGCGCCCGATCGTCCTCAGTGATCACTAAGAACACCAAAAGTCCGCCACGCATCGTTCAAACTCGTGGGGGGGTAGTAATGCGCGTGTGCGTCAAACATGGGGGTAACCCCAGAACCCTGGCAAGTGGAAACAAGGACCAAAAAACCTGCGGTCCAATTCCTCGTGGTTTGTACCCTTGGCGGGCATTCCTTATGAACAAGGCTGAGCAAACACCAACATGATCAATTCCTGAGATTGCTGTTGACGCAAGTCTAGGGAACGTTCAAAAAACTCATGCATGGGAAAGCTTTTCAGGGAGCCAATTTGCCTAGCGACGAAAACCTTATGAGCAGCTCGCCGCACCCCACAAAGACATCAACCCAATGGTAAGTCCTGCATTGGAATTATATGGCCATGGGTCAAAATTTAAATTCAGTGGACATCCCAATCCCCACTCAAGCAGGTTCTAAAATGGGTGGTGCACCTACCCCAAAATGGGATCCCTTTGGTTTTGACCCACAGCCATATCCTCTTCAGCGACTGATGGCAAAGGAAAACAACGATTCCAAGCCCGTTGCTTTGGCCAACAAGGGTTGATGATGCCACGGCAGCCCATGCAATGAACTGTTGCACATTGGGAGTGGTAATTATGGGATCTCAGGTGTTTTTTCCCCTTGGCCACACACCAGTATATGCTTTCCCAAATCTGCTTCAGAAATGCTGAAGTCTGCAGTACGTCCGTGTTCCATCTACGCCTGTCTCATCTCTCACACATCAATCCAATCGAGGTGACCAACCAGCGGCCGCCAAAAACATATTCAAACCATAAACCATAAACCATAAACCATAAACAACGAACCACAAACCCTAAACCCTAAACCCTAAAACATAAACCATAAACCACAAACCATAAACCTTTCGCGCCTGCTCGCCTTTGGCGGACTGGACCTCGGATGTGAAGGCCTCGGGTTGACAAAAGGAAACCGCTGGTGGATCAGAAGAGGTCTCATGAGCATGGGATGAGACCATGGGTTGGTCTCAACCACCACAAAGATGTACCCCCTCTCCCACTAACATGGCATTTGACAGGGGGTCCCTCCAAAAGGAAATTGATCTTCCAGGTACCCTCCCACAGGTGCAATGTTAGTGGGAGGAAGCGTAGTTTGTTTCCCCACCAGGGGAAAGCTACCCTTGGTCACTTGCAGCCCGGGAAAATAGTGACCAACCCCCATGTCAATGTGAGATGCCAGCTGAATCCACTTTGTAGCCTGGTAGATCGAAGTATGCTCGAAACCACGTAGGACACGCTGAGTCGCTGAGTGCCCCGGGCGATCACTCGGCCTTCGCACTCTTCGACGGACTGCTTGGACACTTCCTTGGCGCTGGCACGGGCATCGCTTCATTTCAGATCCCATTACGGGACCAGCGCACAGTTCCAAGAGTTGGCAAGAGGTCCAGGCGCGGGTAGCAACAAAGTTCGAGGCAGCAATCCGGAGCCAAACAGTCTCCGGTCCGGCGAAACAGTTGTGTGTATGTGCGTTGTCATATACAGACACATCACCGCCAGAAGGAATCTAGGAACTGGTACCTACCTGAGCATCCCGTCACCTTTCATGGACTTTGCTTCCTACAAAAAACTCCCCGGATGACACGCATCAAGCTCCCTGCCATCCCCGGATCCCCGGATCCCTAGGGTCGTCAGGTGCCACCGAGTGCGCGGCCAAGTCCAGCTCCGCCTGCTCCCGCACCAAGTTGTCCTCGACATTCTGCAGCAGCGCCAGCTGCAGCCGGGCGCAGTACCTCAAACAAATCGCGGGAGCCGGGCTGGTTTAAAAGCTCCGGTGCCCCGGGTACCTAAAACATGCAGCTTGAAACTGGTGTGTCCAGTTTGCCCCCATCTCTTGCAATGTGTGAAAGTGGTGCAGGGCTGTTTGTGCAAAGCCGAGCCGGGACCCAAAATGATGAATGCTTTGGGAGGCTATCAAGCTCTGCGCTAGGGCGGCGCCAACTACAGTACTTAGTCACGAGTGCCAACAAAACCTCATGGATCCGCGCATCTTGATCTCTCGCCTGGGTGCCATCTTTCAAAGTTGCCCGCATTTAATCCGAAGGCTGAGAGCCTTGCAGTTCTTGACAAAGAAACTTGGCATCGTGTGCGAAGCCTGAGCCAAGCGGTGCGCCATCAGGGATTGCTCTGAGTCCGGAAGAATCTTCGCATGAGGTCGCCATTCTGAAGGGGAGCAGCTCTGTGATGCCACGACGACGCCACCAGGACTAAGCATCTCAGCATCCAACGCTCGTGATGCAGCTTCTTGAGCAAGCCCTCGAACTGCAAGGTCCTCAGCTTGTAAAACAAACAAACGTGAGGGCAGCGTGCTGAAGTGGTTAAACAAACACGAAGCGATCTTTCAGCCCATCTTTCCCAGTGCTCGGTAATCCATCATTCCCAGTGCTCAGTGACATTTGCTCATCCACTGAGACTGCAGCAAGTCTTGCACACCTGCACGTAGCGTCTTCCTGGCATAATTAGCATGCTTTGTTCCAGTCGAACAGGCTGTGGCACAACTTCCCATGGCCGTTGGAGGTCTGAAACCAGTTTTCCTTAGCTCACAACTGACTGAAGACAGGCCACTGTAGCGGTTGATATATCCCGCAAAAGAAGCTAAGCCGGAATGGCAAAAAAGGTGATTTTGATAGCTCTTCCCAAAGCAACGCTCCATGACCCTCATCATCAAGTGTTCCATTTTCTTGGATTGAGCTTGGAGAGGTAAATATGACGGGTCGTATAGTTTCTCCTCGTGCACCTGTTGAATTGCGCGCCGGCAGGCCTGTAAATGGCGATATTCTCCCTCAGGAAAACACACATGATGCATGCTCGGCACCAAGAGACTGCAACAAAGCAGGCCAGTTCCTCTCGTGCACATGTTCCCAATCCCTCACGAACTGGAATACCATGGCAGCACAGTAGGAGCAACATCAACGCCGGTCATGCAACACACACACACAAACAAACATATCAACAACACATGAATGATTGAACATATGAACGCCGGTAATGCAACGCACCCATCAACAACACTCGAACGATTCAATATCAGCTGCCTGGCCCATTTTGGGCACGCCTTCTGTGGTGGAAATGGCGCCTTCTGGGTGTCTCTTTTAGGGGCCCCCAAAGTGGCTTCGGTTCTGCTGTTTGGCTCCCTGTAAAACCTACCAAAAAGCCCGAAATATCCACCCCTCGTTGTTTTTTCCCAAAGCGTCGCGGAACGGAAAGCGCGAAGCAAGCGCGGCGGAGAGCGCAGCTCAGCGGAGAGCTGCTTCTTGTAGGCTTCCTGTGCCTCCGCGAGCGCCTGGAGCAAAGCGACGTTGCCGCATCCGACTTCGGACGGATGGACTGGGGCGTGCCGGACGCTCGTTTGGGAGGGGTGGAAAGTGACCTCTTGCTGGGTGTCTTCTAAACTGGCAAATGGGTGGCTCGTCTTTATTTGACGGTACCTCTTTCTTGGTAACTTTAAAGGGAAGCCCAAAGAAAACATGCCATTTGGGGGTTCCCTTGAAAAAGACACGCCCAAATGGCCATGGGTCAAAAGCCCGTACCCCAGTGATCATCCCAATCCCCGCTAACATAGCTTCTAACATGGGTGGTGAATTCACCGAAAACCCCGAGATGGGATCCGATCCAAGACAGTTTTGAGCACAGCCAAATGGCGGCAAAATGGCGGCAACTAGCGACCCATTGAGACATGAGAGGCTCTTCGCGTGCTTCGAGTCGTGCGGGCCTTCTCCTTCGCCTGGTACTCAGCAAAGGCAGCCTTCTGAACTTCGGACCTGGGCGGTCAAAAAAAATCCAGAAGTCCCAAATGGGTTGCTCCAAACCAGATGGCTGTGGGTCCAAAGTTGGTTAGGTACCCAAAATGGGTTGCCCTGGTAAATGTAAACATGGAATAAAACCTGCGCTTCGATTCCTGGTTTCATTTTGACCCATCTGGGCTGAAGTGGTCACAAGGCCATGCCAAAACCCAATACTATGGATGAGAATGGACTGGCGTGTTTGCTTTCAAGCTGCTGGAACTTGCGCAAGTGGACACAAAAAACATCCACAAATTGAGGCATCAGCATGTCATCCTCAGGTATCTCGTCCATCCAGGCCTCCTTATCCAACACGATCTCCAAAGGAGTCAGGTCCTGTGCCAGCATCACTCAACAAGTATACTTCTGCTGCAGCTGCTTCGGCTTCTGCCACTTCTACCACGTGCCATCACTATGACTACCGCTCACCAACTACCAACTTCTGGCTACCCGCTACTGACCGCTGACAACGTCTGTCTTTTCGACTTGCTACTTACAGCTTGCGATTCACTACATGATACAAACTGCTTGAACCGCACTGACTTGCAAGTGCAACTACAAGTTTCATAGGAAATGCGTTCAGAGGCACCAGTTTCAGCCACATGTGTGCCTGCATATGCATGTTTAGCTTGGCGGGATAATTACAATCCAAGCATGCTTGCTGACTCCAGCTGATTCAGACAGCATGTCACATCCCTGAAAGGAAGTGGACACAATATCACCGTAATTGCGTCACCATCGGTTTGAAGGCGGCAACCAGCATCGGCATCAAATGACACTTAACTGGAGGCAGGGCTCCAAATCTCTTTGATGGTTCCAGGTATCAGCTGCAAAATGTTGTTTGGACTTGGTGCCGTCTTGAGACCCTGACATCAACCAACTGAATTTGCCATGCAGGCGTAGTCTCTGGATCCCGGGTTAACCTATGAAACAAAATACTGGCCGATGCCTCGCCTTCTTTGTCTTCAGAGTGCCACCCATCATCTGGACCTAATCCGAGTCGCGCAGCCGCAAACAGCTTGCAAGATGCAAAACAGCATTTTGCAATATGTAGGAAACGGAAAAAGTGACTGTCTGGGTAGAAGCAGCGTTGCTGAAACCGGAGCTGAAAGCAAACATCGATTTTCCAACACCTGTATCATCCCTCATCTCTCCACAACTGCATTGCCACACTGCACCTCTAAAGAAAGCTTGAGACAAGGAAACCATGCTGCACCTCCAAAGATGGTTTGGGTCATCCTGCATCATCTGCATACAAACCTCCCCCCCTCCAAATGTTGGACCCGAAGCTACTCAAAATCACATTGGGGGGGATACAGGAGGGGGTGGGTTAACCAACCTATGAATACAAACTGTAGCCAACTGTAGCCACCGAGTGGTCAGTTTACAAACCACAAGCCTGTTGCAACTGCCGGGCTCGCCGGCCAAGGCCCTCTGCCCCGCGTCATTCTCTCGGAGCTGGCGCTGCCGCTCCTGCATCGAAGCGTCGACACTCCGCATCTTCCCAGATGGCCATGGCTCAAAATCCAAATCGTACCCCCAGTGAACATCCGATTCAATCCAACCACTAAAATAGGGTCTAAAATGGGTGGTGCACCGAAAACCACAAAATGGGATCCCAAAACGGTTTTGACCCACAGCCAGATCCCTTCCTCTGGAGGCTTCAGCATTCCAAGGTCTGCCACGGCTTCCCCGCCTCCTCCTTTGCCGCGGCCTCTTCTTGAATCTTCTTCCTGAGCTTTCGAATCAGAAAGGTGCCAGCTGGCACCCAAGAGCTTGGGTTGCCACAGTGCGGGCAAATGCCAAAAGAATCCTTCAAGGCAGCTGGATCAGAGAATTCATTCTTGCAAAAAGCTCCGGCGTCCATGTAAAGAATGTCAACTTAAAGCAAAGAAGTCAAATCTGACATGATCAGAGCATCAGAAGGTGCCTTGCCTGGTGGTCATCAGAGCAAGCTGAGCTGGCGACTCCTCGGGGGAGATCCACTTCTCTGCTTGGATCTCGTGGTCCTGTCATTGCAACCCTCCTGCCACCTGCCAGTCTGCCATGCCAGCGACTCAACTTTTATTATTATTATTATTATTATTATTATTATTATTATTATTATTAAAAAAAAACTAGACGACGAGTGGCCCGGAAGCATAGAGGCAAGTTGATGCAGGTGAGGTAACTCTCGCAAAGTTAGCATGAGGAGTTGGCAGGCGAAGCAATTCTCAAAAAGTTGGCATGAGAAGCTGGCAGGTTAAGTAACTCTCGAATAGTTGGCTGGCAAAGTTGGCGGGTGAAGTAATTCTCGCAAAGTTGACATGAGAAGTTGGCAGGCGAAGTAACTCAAGAGAAAAGTTGGCATGAGAAGTTGGCAGGTGAAATAACTCTCAAAGAGTTGGCATGAGAAGTTGGCAGGTGAAGTAACTCTCGAAAAGTTGGCGTGAGAAGCTGGCAGGTGAAGTAATTCTCGAAAAGTTGGCACGAGAAGATGGCGCGTGAAGTAACTCTCGAAAAGTTGGCGTGAGAAGCCGGCAGGTGAAGTAACTTTCGAAAAGTTAGCATGAGAAGTTGGCAGGCGAAGTAATTCTCGAAAAGTTGGCGCGAGAAGTTGGCAGGCGAAGTAACTCTCGAAAAGTTGGCAGGCGATGTTGGCAGGTGAAGTACCTCTCGAAAAGTTGGCATGAGAAGCTGGCAGGTGAAGTAATTTTGCGAAAAGTTGCCACGAGAGGTTGGCAGATAAAGTATTTCTCGAAAAGTTGGCATGAGAAGTTGGCAGGTAAAGTAATTCTCGAAAAGTTGGCATGAGAAGCTCGCAGGTGTAGTAACTCTCGAAAAGTTGGCATGATAAGCTCGCAGGTGAAGTAACTCCTCGAAAAGTTGGCACGAGAAGTTGGCAGGTGAAGTAACTCTCGAAAAGGTGGCATGAGAAGCTGGCAGGTGAAGTAATTCTCGAAGTTTCGGCATGAGAAACTGGCAGGTGAAGTAATTAACCCTCAAAAAGCTGGAGCGGCGGAGGCGCTCCGCGTGCTACATTTGCAATTTACAGTTGCGATTTTCCAGCCATTTGTATCTAAAAGTTGCGATTTTCCAGCCGGAGCTGCGGGAGCACGCTCCGCGTACTACGTCTGTACTTAAAAAGTGCGATTTTCCAGCCGGAGCTGCAGCAGCCTCCGCGTACTACGTCTGTACTTAAAAGTTGCGATTTTCCAGCCGGAGCTGCAGGAGCACGCTCCGCGTACTACGTTTGTACTTAAAAGCTGCGATTTTCAAGCCGGAGCTGCCGCGGACCAGGGGGGAATCGAACCCGGGACCGCGGGATTGCGAAAGCAGGCGCGCACACCACGAGACAACTTCCAAAAGCCGTTTCGCGAGCAAGAAAATCGCACGGCGCCACAGCGAGAGCGCTTCGACACGCACGATCTCCGCAGAGGGTTCATCGGGCTCAAGACAGATGCGCACGGCGCCACAGCGAGAGCGCTTCGACACGCACGATCTCCGCAGAGGGTTCGGGTCAAGACAAATTCGCACGGCGCCACAGCGAGAGCGCTTCGACACGCAGGATCTCCGCAGAGGGTTCGCCAAGGTCAAGACAAATTCGCACGGCGCCACAGCGAGAGCGCTTCGACACGCACGATCTCCGCAGAGGGTTCGCCAAGGTCAAGACAAATTCGCACGGCGCCACAGCGAGAGCGCTTCGACACGCACGATCTCCGCAGAGGGTTCGCCAAGGTCAAGACAAATTCGCACGGCGCCACAGCGAGAGCGCTTCGACACGCACGATCTCCGCAGAGGGTTCGCCAAGGTCAAGACAAATTCGCACGGCGCCACAGCGAGAGCGCTTCGACACGCACGATCTCCGCAGAGGGTTCGCCAAGGTCAAGACAAATTCGCACGGCGCCACAGCGAGAGCGCTTCGACACGCACGATCTCCGCAGAGGGTTCGCCAAGGTCAAGACAAATTCGCACGGCGCCACAGCGAGAGCGCTTCGACACGCACGATCTCCGCAGAGGGGTGCGTTTCGTAAGCTCCCGTCGGGCCTACCCCCGCCATAAAAAGAAGAAGAATTAAGAGTCGAGATGTGAAGGTAGAACAGAAAAGTTAGCTTGTGTTTTTAGGATAGTGAAGTAACACCCGACAAATTAGCTTGTGCTTTTAGTAGAATGAGATAACAGCCGAAAAGTTGACATGAGAAGTTGGCAGGTGAAGTAACTCTCAAAAAGTTGACATGAGAAGTAGGCAGGTGAAGTAACTCTCGACAAGTTGGCATGAGAAGTTGGCAGGTGAAGTAACTCTCGACAAGTTGGCATGAGAAGTTGGCAGGTGAAGTAACTCTCGACAAGTTGGCATGAGAAGTTGGCAGGTGAAGTTGGCAGCCGCTTTTAGAAGAAGAACCCTTCGCAATGCTTCCGGGAAAAAAAAAAAACGTGGCTGCTGTACATTTGTCACATCACATTTCTGTCTGTCTGCGTGTCTGTGTCTGTGGAACTAACTGCTGCACAAGCTTGATGATCTAAGATCAAGTACAAAACCAATTGGATTGCAGGTGGGTCAAGATAGCAAATAGCTAGCAAAAACGGCATATTGCCTGCAAAACAGGTATATCTTGCTTCAAAAAAACGCCTCTGGCATTTTCCCATCGATGACGCTTGCAACCCAATGCACACACGAGCAAATGTGTCAAAAGGTTGCTTTCAAGGCTCGCGGTCTTGCATTGTACACATCCGCTCCAGCAAGAGTCATTGCTCTTCGCAGGTACTTAGCAGCTGCCCCAGGCAGCAACTCACAGCATATTGAGACCAAACTCATGACCCCGCCCCGGAGATGGTAGTGTCAAACTTGGTTCCCTTCCAACAACGTAAGGTGAGCAAATATTCCTGGCCCCATAGTGACCATGGGAAACTTGTCATCCTTTTGGTGGCGTCCCTAATGGCCACCCCATGCAAAGGACCTTTTGATCAACCACCAAGGGAAACCTGATCTAACACCTTCCCCAGTCGTGTGGGTGGGCGTCCTGCACCTTGAGCACCGAGTCCGAATCCTCGACCTCCTGTAGGGCAGGTTCTGGCACCTCCTCCTCAATCTGCAGCTCCTGAGTGCGGGTGTCGGACCGAAAGAGCTCTGAAACACGACCCCCCCCCGTTTGGTGGGCATTGAACAAGAAGTACCAGATTTGCTTCTTGGGAACATGTCCAAACTTCAAACCTGCACGCTTTCTCTTGCTCTCTCTCTCTCTCTCTCCCTCTCTCCCTCTCTCTCTCTAATCGGGCGACTTCCTGCTTCTTTGGGCATGGAAGAACCTGTTTTTGCAACACGAACCCTTGGCCCAAGAGCTTGCGCTGTGGAGAAATCCCTGAGGCTTCCACACTCAAGATCTGGCGAATCCGGCTGCACTTCTCCTTGATGCCATCCTGCAACGGCGGCAAACACATGGTTTTTCCAACCCGCCTTTCTCTTGTTGCTCACTTGCCATACATCTCTAGGGGTACCTTCCATGTCCATTCTTTCCAGGATCTATGCTTTTCAGGAAACCATCAAGAACCCAGGAAAAACAGCCAGTTTTTGAAAAGAACGAATGACAAGAATGGAAAAGGAATCAACCCCTAGAACATCGCCCTGCAAGAGCACTCAGTCAACACAAAACGCAGCACGGACACAGAGATTGTGCAATCTCAGCAACTATCTTCGGAGGTTTCGTTGAGCTACCTGTTTGGGCTGAATGCGGAGTAGAAACACGCACCGATCACCGAATCTGGCACTCCTTGCACGCCCTCTTGCACGCCCACTCACACGGGGGTGCCCTCTTTCAAGCCAGGAGCCATCTGGCTATGGGTCAAAATTAAACCAGCAGACCGCAGGTTTTAGTCCATGTGTCCAATTAAAACCCGTTTTGGGCGCCTATTTTTGACCCACACTCATCTGAGGCAAGGGCGATAATGTTCTTCTTGTCGCCTTGACAAGCCTGCACCAAGAAACCAAGGGCCCTGCCAAGGATCCTGACGCCCCAAGAAATATACATCACATCAGAAGAAAGTTGGGCTTCAAGCTACTTTGCCGGTCTCAAAACCTTCTTTCGAGTCGAAAAGTAGGGTCCCGAGCATTGACTCCTCATCCATCTACCCCGCACCCGACTGACCTTCGTGCCCAGAGGGCAATCCTCGTCACACGAGCGGCTGGCGACTTCCCCAGAGCCTTGAAGAGCTCGTTGAAGTGCAGGCGGTATTCCGCGGACAGAGCTTGCAGCAAGTGGATCTGTCCGGCATTTGCCATGCTCGTATGCTCATTGTGTGCCTGTTGTCACAGCGAGCAATTGTTTGACAAGTCTAGAAAGAGGGACACTGCGCGCTGAGCAAACCTTGTGCAGCACAGGAAGGCACAACTTTTGGTGACTGCACGCCTGCCAACAACCTAGTTTCGAGCCTGCAAACGCCTTCTGCTGTTGGTGACCAGCTCAAAGGGCTCGTACAGGTACTTTTGCTCTTCTGCCACGATCTCAGCAAGCAAAGGTTGCCAAGTGGAAGCAAAGCGTGTTCCCGCTTGTTCCTGCAAGATCCAAATCTGTCCCACCAACCGCTGCTGCCTGCCAACCAAACAGCACTAACTTTTGCTGTATCGTCGTTTGGTTTGTTGGTTTGGCCTAGCTGGTTGGGTTTGATACCACTATTGACAAGTAAAAACTACAGCTTGACCCCAAACCCTAAACCACCACCTGAGCTGATTTTGAGCTCATGGGCAGGCCGACGGCTGTTGCCCAGCTTCCACAACATCGTGGACGCCAGGCAGCATGTGTTCAAAGATTAATATTCCATGTCACATTCTCAGGTGGCTGTGGCAAAAACAAAATGTAGCAAAATGGCAGCTCGGTGAATGGAACCAAAGATGAAAAGCTGCGTAACCCCAGCTCTTGAATTTTGAGCCACACCCAGGTGTGTATGCAAGGACTATGCCTTCGTTTTCACATCCTTGAGATGTTCAGCTCCGCCGGATGGAACCATGACTGCTCTGGAAACACCTGATGTATGCTACCTGGTCTTGTGGCGCCCAGTGTCAGACTCCCGTCCCCATCTGAACCCGTATCTCTTCCAGTCCCTAGGGTCGCCTGAGTACCAAATAAATATTGTACATGTCATTTGTCTGATGGCGGGACACGGAAAAACAAGCTCTTCACGACATTGGTCATACCTCATAACAAATTCGTAGCACTGAGGCCACCGGCCGAGTCTGCACTGGTGCCTTGCCCTGTCTCCTCGGTCGTCTTGATACCTATGGCTCCATTTCCACACACACACACACACACAGACACACACGCGCGCTCGACCATAGATGTGGGAATCAAGCAAAAGGTTCAGCATCAAATGGCGGTGCTTGTTAATTACTCCGCTTCCCTCAACAGTCGATGGTGACCCTCCTGCACAGCAGCATGATGAACGTGCACCAGGCTTGCCTGCATCCTCTCCCTTCTCTTTCGCATCCTTGGCATCCTTCGCCGCTTTCTCCTTTTCCTGAAGCACCGGAAAACTGCAAACATGTCATGATCGAAGCACGGATGCGCTCAAGTCTTGCAGAGTCTTGGATACCCACTTCCTGGGTCTATTTAAGTGGCCTCCAAATGATCCTCTAAATTGTGAAACAAGCAAGAAAAACTGAGACCCCTTCCAAATGTGCACTTGAACGCACCTAGACCTCTCAACAAGCTTGTGTCCCAAATCTGCGCCAGCCTTCTGCTTTTGTGCTTCCTCTGCAGCCTCACGTATCCGGAACACTGGAAATCTGACGCTATGGTGAAATGGGAGGACCTCATTTAGGAAGCCAATTGTCCATTGCAGGATGCGTTCTACGCATATCCCAAACGGTCGAAACTGCCAAAATGTCCATCCCAAACAGCAACTGCCGTATTCACATGCCAGCAAGAGCAACAACTTGAGAAGCAACACGCCTATGCCCAGCTCTGCGGAAATCTCTTCTGGGCTCGCGGCCTTCTTTTGCCTTAGATGGCTCCCAAGGCTGGCTGACAAACGGGAGCACTTGACATCACTAGGCACCCAAGATGTACTCAAAAAAACAAAGTCTGATGCCTTGACGGATGGGGTTGAACATCATAAGCAAATCAGACACACCTGCCATGTTGACTGCAACATCCCCAGCTTGTGTGCGAGTCCAATGGCACAAGTACAATGACAATGACATTTTACAAGCTTCCGGATACATGTAGTATCCCATGTAGGAAGCAGGTCAATGAAACACTGTATTCAGCAACTACTCAACCGAAGAGGAGAAAAACATGTTCCTACGGCATGCACCCACAAAGCTACTGCAACATGTACACGCAAATGTGTTTCTCTTGTCTTTCTGTCTCCCTGTCTCTTTTCTTGATTTGGGTATGGTACGGTATGGGTCAAAATCAAACCACTAGGGAACCGCAGATTTTAGTCCTTTCCATTTACCAAGGCAACCCATTTTGGGGTTACCTCATTTTTGACCCACAGCATGCACCAAAACTGCGAACATGTACATGCTTGTGTTTCTGCTTGTCTTTCTGTCTCTCTGTCTCTTCTTCGCTGTATTTGCCCTTTTGGGGTGTTTCTTGTCTTTTTGTCTCTCTGTCTCTTTTAGGAAGTCTCTTCTACATATGTTCCAGTCCCCAGGACCAACCCCCCCCCCCCGTTGGTGGTTTTTTTGTTTTGTTTTCTCCGGCGCAGAACGAGTCAAACAGCGCCGAGGCGCGCCGCTTGCTTGGCCTCCGCGTCCAGCTGCCGGCTGCGCGCCTCCGCGGCTTTGGTGTGGGCGCCGGGCCACCAGTTCACGATGTACCGCTCCTCGCCTGGCAGCGCGGAATTCGGTAGTTACATGGCTTCCTTTGGTGGTAGTTCCCATGGTGGTTAGCCATGCGGTTTTTCAGGTTCTTAGCGTTTGGTGGTAGTTCCCTTGGCGAGTTTAGCTCACCAAGTCCTTCCCTTGGTGCTTAGCCAGCCGTTTTTTTTGAGGTTTATAGGGTTTGGTGGTATTTCCCATGGCCCCCTCCCACCAATTACACACAGGTGGGCTTCCTTGTTCCCTCAAGGGGCGGGGCAAGCCGGCTGAGAGGCTGCTCGATTGACCAGCAGCGGCCAACACACGTGATCAAAGCTCCTTTGGCCATTCTTTTAGAAATCCGCTGTTATAGCTGTTCAAATTCCCTGTTGAGGGGTGCTGACCGTTTTTGGCCAACCCCAGATAAAAGGGTGCTTTGACCATGCACATATGGAACGCCACGAACGACGCAAAGAATGCGCATCTCTCCGCACAGGCAACTTGCACACTGCATGCTCAACAACAGTGGCAGCAGGACAGCAAAGGATTCATGTATCATGCTCATGGTATCAACTTCTACACCAGCAACAACAAAAAACAGCGCGGTCGAGAAAGAAAAGGAGCACGCCTGTTGTGAAGCTGTCCACATCCAGCACCATGTCGTTCCGAAGCTCCGAAGGGCAGGACGATCCTTTGCACCTCGGTTCAAGAAGCATTGCAGTCCTTGCAGGCGAGTTCTTCACGCTGAGAGTCCCAAAGATATGCCAAGCGAAACGGGCAAGCCCCGCTTTCCGAAGCAACTGCAGTCTTCTGGGATACTGCACAGTTGACAAAGGTTTGCTGCGCGGCAAACCTCAACATTGCAGATCCTCTCGATATTGTTGACTCTACCTGGCAAGTGTATGCAAGTGTTCGATCCAGAGGTTGAGAGTTCAACATCATCTGCAGAATTAACTTTGAAGTCCCCCCTGTAGGACCACGCTTGCCGCAGCCGAAACTCGTGGCCGCCAGCTTGTTCGGAGTTGCCCGAGTCTTTCCTTGCTTTCCTCCTTGCTTGTCTCCGTCTGTGTGTGTGTGGCAAATCAGTGAATACTGACCTTTGCTCAGCAGAAGCTGGTCAGTTGCAATGAGATCGCAGTGTACCTCTCCGTCTCTCAGTGAGATTGCACCTTGTCAGCTCAAGCACTCGCAGGTTACCTGGGGAGCCGCGCATTTGATACTCAAGCTGCTCAGTCTTGCGCAGCATTCGAAGCTTCTTGATCACGGTGTTCTCGTCCTGCCAAAAGCTCCAACATCTTTGAGTTCGAAAGGAATTTGAGTCATACTCAAAACCCGGTATTAAAATGGTCTACCCAGAACCGTGTAAAGAATAGGAAGGCGGCCGCAGCTATTTATGGCCGGGATTGTCCCTTGCCAACCTTCATCAATCCCCGGGTTTTGAGCACGTGGCTCATTTGGCTTCCTCGCTCACCGTGCGCTCGGGGTAGTTGGAGACCGCCAAGCCGGAGGTGAGAGACGTGATCTGGCAGCCCTTGCCACGCATAGGATCCCAGAACCTCAGCCCGACACATTTCAAGGACTGGCCCTGGGCTTTTCAAACTCCAAATCGGTTAGCCCCCAGTGAACATCAACCAACCCAGCCACTAAAATAGGTAAGATGGGTGGTGAAGTCACCGAAAACCAACCAAAATGGGATCCGATCCAAAACGGTCTAACGACAACCACAGCCATCTACCGAAACGACAACAGCCTCTTTAGCCCAACGGCTTGCCTCAAGATCCAACTGGCGGCGCTTTTTTGGCAAGAAACGGCTAGGGGAAAAAACTGGAAACGGGGGTTCAACATGAAACTGCAGGGAGGGTGAGAATTAGGGGAAGCAACCCCAAAGTGCTAGCCTGTCAAATGCCCTGTTGGGGTGAGTCATAGCTGAGAGCCACACTCCTTGATGAGCCTGTCGCGAATCAGCTGCCTTGCACTAGTCACACACTGAGCTCCTTTTCTCTCTCTCTCTCTCTCTCTCTCTCTCTCTCTTCTCTGCACTGGCCGTGTCTAGCCCAACTATCCACGTTCCTGCATACGCCAACTTGACATGTTGACCTAAACGTATGTCAAACATTTCACTTGCTGTTTCTCAGCAGGGAATGAGTTGGAATAACCTCTCTGAACCATCCTGTATGGTTTCCCTTATTCGGGCCCCAAACTGTTCATTCCCAACACCCGGACTCGTTGTCATTCCCACCCTGTCGCACCAAGGTAAAAGCCTTGATCAGTTGGTTCAAGGCTGTGCCATGCCAAAAAAAACACGCGAAGAGTCCAACGACTAGTCTTTCGATCCAGTGTCCCTGCGTATGGCCATTGTTTCAGGTGAGCTGGAACTAGTCGACCTGAACGCCAATACCAACAGCTTAGCTGAGCATGGCACCTGGCCACATTCTGGTGCTCGATCTCAGCGCGCAGGGCATCACATCGCTCCTGGCCGGAAGGGATCCGATTCGATCCGGAACTCGGATGGAAAGGACGCAATCCACTGGCCTTGGTCGTGGAAGCGATGGCATAGCGTTCCTCAAAGTCCACGCAAAACTCCCCTCTTTCCAGCCTCAGGCAAAAGTTGGAAGCAAGAACATGAACCTCCAGCACCTCACAAATTTGTTCTATCCAGTCAACGCACTGTTCTACCCAGCGATGCATGTGGCGCTTGATTGGCCCAAGGCCTTTGCAAGCAGAGCTTTCAACCTCTAAACTTGATCACAGGCGCAGCTCAGGCTAGCACTTCTCAAGGTCAGGCGCGTTGCTGTTGTGGTCGATGAGAATCCGGAGCTTTTTCCGCAAGGCTTCAATCTGCATGCAAAGCAGGCTAAGCAACAGCCCGGCAGCTGAAACAGGGTGCAAAGCATCAATCCCCATGAGTAGAATGACTCGCTCGGCTGTGAAGCCTCATGGCCGTGAGTCGTAAAGGTCACCAATCTTGGAACTACCCTTCCACTCACCCAAGGCATATCGATTGAATCGGCAAAATATGCCATCCATGCTAGCATGGGGAAAAGAAAGTATGGAGCTTACGATTGTTTGTGAAAGTTAGGTATGCTTGGTATGTGTACGTATGTATAAACCGAACATGCCAACATGTACGCACACAACTCATGAGTAACTCTTCGTGTGCGTCTGCAAACGTGCCTGTGCATGACTTCATACATTTGTCTACATGTAAATGTGTGTATACTGTGTCTGTATAATACACACGTGTGGATGTATCAACCATGTCTAGGTATTTACATAGATACATGAACATGTGTGTCTCTATACACATAACATACATACACTTTCATTTACATGTGTCCTATGCGTAGATACATGCAGGACATACACCTATACAGATTGTGTGCGAAATCCATGAGTGCCCGATGTATGTTGCTCATTGACCCATGGCCCATGCCCCACCTCATGGGACATGAGCTTCCTCTTCGTGGCGGCCTCTTCCTCAGAATCGGCTCTTTGCTCGGGAGCCAAAACATGCTCGGAGAAAAAAAAACGGGGGGGGGGGGTGGAAGAAAAAGAAGAAAAAAAACAACGCGCTCGAACCGGTCGAAAAGGCCGCAAACGCCGGGACAACGGTAATGCCAATTCCATGTATTCAAGAACAGAGCTGAGGCCTCTGCAGAAAGCTCCACTTCCTGCACGCAAGCACACTGCTTTGGCCCCATGGAGTAAGCTCATGTCTCATGTTGGCTCTGACAAACCCGACCGCTTTGGCCGAGAACTCATGGGCAATCATGCTTTTACACGCAAAGCTCTGTGAAGCTCGCTGAGTGATGAGGCTGTTCAGACGGATCAACAAAAAGGCGCGTGATGCATTCGGCTCAAGTAGTCGCATTGGCAACAGACTACAGCCTTTTCTCTCCCAGCCTCGTCCTCTCCTTTCCCAGCATCTCCGCCTGCGAACAAATGTCTCGTGCAAGAAGCAGCATGGTGTCAGCAGCTCAACTCTAGAATCATGCGACACACACATGGAAGGACCACCGTCCTTGGCCTTGCGGGTTGGGCATGTCCTGCTGATTTTGCAGGCCCTAGGCCCTAAAGCTGAGGCCCCCTGCCAACTGCCACCCAGGCTGGAAATGCATTCACGTCGGTGTCGTCCAACCTTGCCGCGCATCATGAGTTCAAGCATATCCAGCCTGAAGAATTGCCCTAAACCCTAAGTCAAGAATAATTAAAGGGGGAGGGAGGCTGGACCATGTGTAAAGGTAAGTTGTGTTCAGACTGGCTTGCAGAAACACAAAATATCCACATCTGAGGGTACAAACATGACAGGTACGCTCAAATGCAAACTCTCCAGGCAGCTCTTCACCGAAGGCATCATCCTGGCAGTCATCTCAAGCACGAGAGGCAGCTGCATCGGGGAGGAGGATTTGGTGAAGTGCATGGAACTTGTGGTGATTCTTGAGACTTTCATTTGGCCATGGGTCAAAATCCCGTACCCCCAGTGAACATCCCAATCCCCACTAAAATAGGTTTTAAAATGGGTGGTGCACCTACCCCAAAATGGGATCCCATTGGTTTTGACAACCACATGCTCAATGTTGGACATCGCGATGGGATGCGCCTCTTCCGCCTTCAGTGCGGAGTCGTCCTCAGCTGCATGAAAAAAAATGTCTGCAAGCTTCTGAAGCCGAGGCCAGGGCTGGAATCAGCTTGATGTCGGACCCAGCGTCGCTCCACACCAGAATGCCGTCCTTGCCACAAAAAAGTCGAAGCTGTCATGAAAACATGTCGTCTAAAATGGCTGTCCATGTGACAGGGAGAGCTCTCGACTCTTGCGAACAATACCAAATTTCGCTTCTTGGGATAGAGTCGGATGGAGCATACAGCTCTCAAACCAATGGCGAACACACTTCCGACGCCCACATCAACCCCCTACCCCTGAGTCGCTGAGTGTGCCGGCTGCACCGCCAGTGCTCATAGCCACTGTGCCTGCAATGCGAATAGCTCACTTTGGATGCAATGCGCCCAAAAGGATCCCCAGCGTGTAGCAGCTACGGCAGGGATTGTTTGTGACAGACAGGTGGCCATGGGTCAAAATCCCGTACCCCCAGTGAACATCCGAATGCCCACTAAAATAGGTTCTAAAATGGGTGGTGCACCGAAAACCCCAAAATGGGATCCCATTGGTGTTGACCCACAGCCAGGTTTTCTCCGGTCGCTGCAAGAACTTCCTCCTTTCGATTGAGGCCGGGGCCATCACGGCTGCACACCACCTGCGCAGGACGCGCAAAGTTCATGGATTTTATGCAAAACCTTTGCCCTGGAAGCAGCGTTGTTGCCACGCAGGACTCGGATCAACGAACAATGCCACAAAAAAGAAGAAGAAGAAGAAAAAGCGATTGATGCCACATACCATGATGTGCTTGCTGTCTAATGTTCTGCGTTGCTTCTGGTTTTTCGTGGAACCCTGCAAGGCATCATTCGCAGCGTTCAACTTGTGGCGGAGGCGAGTCACATCAAAAGCCCATGGTGGCCTCTGTGTAACATCAAGGGCACGAAGGCATGTAAAAAAAAAGAAGAAAAAAAAAAGAGAAAAGCAGCGAGCTTCAGTTGCTTGCTTAACTGGCCCTTGTCTTCAAGTCCGTGCCGCTTCGTTCCGGCCTGCGCCGTTCCGCCATTGTAAGGGCTATGGAGGGTCTTGCACAGCTGCTGATCGCCCTGCCGGAGCACTGCCATGGACACTCCCCCCCCCTCAAACGGACTGGGCAAGCATGTTGAGGGGCATTGGCATGCCTCACTTTGGCTTGGATTCTTCCGTGTGCTTAATATTTTTTATTGGTTAGTCACTCCGTCCCAAGCTCATAGTGGACTTACGACTTACCTCCAATCCTCTGTGGCCTATCTTGGGCCAAGGCCGTAGGAAGACCTTGGCACGATGGGCTGTGGCATTTCGACACGCAAGACGTGAAGTTGTTGGTTCTTAGTACCTTTTGGTAACGTAGATGTTGACGGCGACGAAACCACCCACCCACAATGACTGTAGACAGACTGTCAGACTGGATGCACAAAAATGCTTAAAGCATGCACAGGATGTTTGGGCAATGGAAACCGGCGTGGCTTAAATCATTTCAGGCTGGGACACCAAGCGCTGCGGTTGGATGTGCCTCTGGTGAGGGTATCTCTGGGGTTTGGGAGCAAGGGGCCCGGGGCGAGGTGGTTCGAAGTGTTTGGATCACGGAAATTCAGCGACTCAGCTGAGGCGGGAGCCGAACTTCAGAACTGCTCCATCCTGACCAAGGCATGCGGGATGATTGCCAGCGAGGGTGCCAATGATATGCCTGTGTGTTTTGCTTCTGGGCGTTAGCTCGATCTGCCCAGGCACATGCACAATCTATTGCACGGTCCATTGAGCATCTATATAAACTTTCAGCTAGTCCGTCGATGATTCAGAGTCGTGGACATGATGTGCCATCCTCAAGACCATCTCCTCCTTTGTGCCAGTCTGGTGGCTGTAGAGTTCTTGGTGTTTGCTCTTCACCTCCTCGAAATCTGCGTCCATCAGCTTCTCCAAATCTTGGCCCTCCGGGGTATCCCGGGTCATGGCCCTCTTGTACACTTGGCCCAAGGGGCAAAAGTAGATGGCGATGAACTTCACCGCGATGGCCGAGAAGGCCAGTAGGGCCATGCCATTGGTGAAGTTGTCCAGGAGATCCGCGGTGGAATAGTTCGCAAAGGTCCCGGAAGCCGCGATCTCCATGCGGAAGCCGTGCTCGTGCCGATACTCTCGCTGACCGTTCGCCTTGGTATCAACGCTCCAAATGGAGAAGTACTGCCTTGAATCCCCTTCTGCCTGTAAGTCGAGCACGTAGTAGGGCTTGATCAAGCCTTTGCCCGGTTGATACGAGTGAACTCGCAGAGAGAGCAGCACGGAAAGCCCGCTGTCACGCAAGTTCCGCGTGATGTTCTTCTTCCAATCCTTGCCTTCCATACTGTCCAAGGATTTCCCCATGGAGCGCAGCAGTGTGGATACCTTGAAAACGTCATTCCCATTCACCTGCGTGTCTGCCAGGACGTAGCAAGGCGCGGCATTTGTAGGCTGGCCCTCTGGGTGTGCCCAAGCGCCATCCGGTTGTAGGGCCTTTTCCTGGCAGAGTTCCTGCTGTTCTCGAGTAGACTCCGCACCCAGTCTCCCCACAAAGAGCCGGCCCTGAATCTCATCCCCTGGCAGAACCAAGTTCCGGCCGGTGGGCTTCTTGTTCACTTGATAAATTGTGGGCTCGATCAAAAGGCTGTAGTTCTCCACATTTGCGACGTATTCTCTCATTGTAATGATGTTATCTTTCGTGAGAAAGTCAGTAGATGTCACTATTGTTATGGAAGAGTCACCCTGATGCAGTACCTCTTCCGCATGGTAGTCGCGGCAACTGCAAGCCTTCACATGGGTTGAGCATATGTCTGAACAGTAGGGCAAGCTAGAATGTGCCACGGGCACCTCTGGCATCTCGAGTGCAGTCATTATGCTGACTCCGATAGCAGGTTTGTGTAAATAGCCACATTGATACCAGATCTGATATCCCAAGATGTACAGCACAATGAGCAGCATTAGCAAGTAGTTCATGGCTCCAAGCCGCCAATCTTTGATCACCGCTTGAAGAGGCACATTGTATGTCAAAAGCTCGTTCATGGACATGCCAAACAACCGGCATCCACCACGCCCCATTGTCGCTGTGAATGGAGGCGAATTATTGGCAATGAATCTTCAAAATACCGGGACTTGAGCCTAAGAAGCACAATGCGTTCCGAAGTTCCCAAGCAGGTCTTGTACTGCACTGCCCCAGCGTCCAAAGATTGAAGGTGAAATCGAGTTTGTGGACAGTTGTCGGCCTCCATTTTAGATCTTTTAGCTTGTAGCATGTGCCAACTCAGCTAACCCAAACCTCTCCACCCCCCTCTCCAAGCAACTTCCCAAAATAAGTGGAGGAAGCTCATCACAGAGAGCTGAGCAGCTCACCATGCATCCCACCAGCAGTGTCGTGGCGCTGAGGTTCATCCTCCGGATGCAAACAAGAAACTCCAGGCGCTCGCAATGGCAAACCTGAGAACGAAATGAGTCACAAGTCTAGGGATTCATTCCCCATTCTTTTCAACCATCGTTCTTTTCAAAAACCAGCTGCTTCCCCTGGTGTTCTGATGGTTTTCTGGAAAGAAGGATCCCTGGAATGAATGGGGAAGTGTCCCCTAGAACAATCAAAACCGATCGGTACTAAAATGGTGAACCCAGAACCATGCTTCAAGAATTAGAAAGGCGGATCTCCGCAACTATTTTTCCGGCTGGGACTGCCCTAATCTTCATCTAGCTGGGTTTTGATTGTGGCTCAAATGTAATTGCCTGCTTCCTTGAGATCTGGAAAGGTTGCCGGCACAGCCAAAGAAAGTGGACTATATCCACAGAAACACAAGATCTACAAGGTTCCAACCAAATGCAATTCTCTGCTTCAGGCTTCCGAAGGATAAGTTGTGTGAGAAACGGTTCTTTGCACGTCACGTAGAAAAGTTCCAACCCCAGAACCAGGAGACGCAATGCAATTCCTAGCGGGCACCAGGGTATGGGCTGCAAGCTGGTGATGAGGTGGTGCGTATCAGGCTCCAGAAGACCTCAGCGCGTCCACTGTTTGACAAGTGTTTCTTTCGACCCCAATCGAGTTGCTCTAATGAGGCTTCACGCTTTTTAGAAAGACTGGTGTGAAGAACTCTTCAGGCACCCGGCATCTGCATGCAATGCGCTTGGTGCAAAAACAAAGACATTTCTTGTGGTCATGAGTAAGCCAGTCGCGAGCATCTAAGCTGAATCTTGCCTCGAGCCAAGGCACTTTTCACAGGGTTCGCGGCGTTGGGCTTCACCATGAGGCCAACATGAGTCGGCCTCAAGACGCACGAGCTGCGCAGGTCCGTGAGACGAGTCAACGAGGCCTGGAGATGTCCCTTCAACCAGAAAGGGACGTTGTGAGCGGTGGGCTTTGCACAAACCTGCGTTTTCAGGGTTTCAGGCAAAACAGAAAAACTCGAGAAATACAGACTCTCCGGAGAGTTTTACGTTTGTCCGGGCAACAATCCACACCAGCAGACCCACTTGCGAGCATTTGCTGAGTTCCCGTGCGTGGAGTAGATTCGGACCTCGGCGACGGTGAAAGCGACCAAAGAATCATGCTCAGAACGTGGTGGGTCCCCTAAATTCAGCATTCCTAGGCATCCTAGGCCTTGGGGTAGGATTGTCTGGACGTCTTTTTCTAGTTGGCAAGGAGAGCTCTGCTCCCTCGACACTTGCACCCGTAAGGCAAGTAAAGGCCAAGCGGAAGCTCAACTTTCAGCTTCGGGCTGCGCCGCTCGCGAATCCCACCACCGCTTGATTCCTGGCATTGGCCCGGGCTGCCTTTCGAAGTTTCCACGGTCCATTGGCCTCACAAGATCCCTCCCACCCAGTTCACCCTGACCGAACCCCCTTGACCTGACACTCAAAACCCGGTCTAAAAATGAAGACCCTTTCTCTCAGACTTGCCAATTGGGGACCGCACACCTTTATGGCAAGGGGATTGGATTCCCTGACCCTCCAACTAACTCCGAATTGTCGATTCTGCGACTCGCAACTTTCCGCCAGTAACACCGGGAGATGGAGCAAATCGCCGTGGGTCTGCCCTCCATGGTGTCCGAGCTCAGCTTCACGGTCCAGAAGCCTGTGGCCTGCAAGCTGCAAGCGGAGTCGGAGACTCGGAGACTCGGAGCAGCTGCCCAGCGATGATCTTAGGGCTCGCGCGCCCAAGAAACCGCCCACTTTTCTAAGGCTTGGTTCCAGCCATTCTTTCTAAAACCATGGCTCTTCTCTAAAACCGGCCGTTTCCCTGGGTTGACGGAGGTTTTCTAGAAAGAAGGATCCCTGGAAAGAATGGGGAAGGTAGCACTAGAACTTTCTATCCAACGAAATCGGATCTGATGACACAAGAGATGACAGGATATGAGTCGGCCTCAAAGAACTACTTGTCTGGGGGTGTATTCGTTCCAACGTTAGGACGCGCCGTATCGCTTGACAGGTAATTTTCTCAGGTTTTCGGGTATCGACTTTTGGACGTCCCATGTGGTGTTTCGAGAACAACCGAACAACAATGAAAAAAATAAATGTGCATAAGACACTTCAACATACCGCAAATGACGGTCATTTTGCAGCCTCAAAAAAAGTCCCAGGGTCCGATTGGCCTTAAAGGAGCAGGGTACGGGTCGGTATTCCACGAACACTTCCCAACTCCAATTTTTCGGGGGGGGGGGGGGGATTGAGGGTGCAAACAAATGGATCTCGTACCGGACCTCGCACACGTCCGTATTGGACATGTGCACCAAGGTTTTCTTGCCTGAGGGACCTGTCACAAAGCGGGACAGCAGCTTCAAAATGCCCCTCAGCCAGTCGGCCTGTAACGCCTGGCTGAGGTCTAAGCTGACCTCTTCTCGTCGCCAGTCCAGCATCAGTGTGCCTCCCTTCAAGGAAAGGCATTGGCTGTTCCCCGCCCGTCTCAAACCGGTAGAGGTTCGAAGTCGAGTGGTACAGTATTCAGCTGCTGGGACGCTTTGTTCCTCCTTTCAGGCGAATGGGTCCGGACTGGTCATGTCTGCATCCTACGACTGGCACAATTCATGGAGTTTTCTTGCTGGTGCTAGTAGGAAATGCGGGGATTCCCTTCAAGGAAACCAAGGGATGGTTTATAAGGGTCATTATTTCATTCCCTGAGCAGCCCAAGGTTTCCAGGCTCCCCACCTCTCTTGGAATGGTCAACTCTCGCGGCTCATAGCCTTCGGTTGGCCTGGCCGGGCATTAGATGCTTGGCGGCTTCCAGGATGCATCCCGGACTTCTTTCCACAAGCACTTTAAACCGACGGCAACAAACAAAATGGGTTGAAGACCCAGGCTGATGTGATTGTCAGTCTCCTAGCAGTGCTGGCCAATTGACCTTGGTAGCGATGATTTGGACTCAACATGTGCTAGGGCGTCTCCTTGTTGTATTGCCTTGCCCCAAACACTTTGCAGCCCAAGACTGGTGCCCTCCAGGAATATCAAACTATCCCCACGGCACCCCATTCAACTCGCTTTTCGTAGCATGCCATTGCCAATGCATCAAGCGAGGCAGGTCTCACGATCTGATAGACCACATGCATGCCACCTTAGATGCCAGGATGCAACGCCTGCTTCCCACATCTCACGTCGCAAGCTTTGCCACTTGTTGGCCATGGGTCAAAATCCAAATAGTCCCAGTGAACATCCCAATCCAACCACTAAAATAGGTAAAATGGGTGGTGAATTCACCGAACACCAACCAAAATGGGATCCCAACACGGTTTTGACAACCACAATAGGTACCCCAAATGGAACCCTGGCAAATGGACACATGAATCCCAAAACGGTTTTGGGATCCTAAACGGCTTTGACCACCACAGCCACTTCTTGGCCCTTCGCCCCAAATGCGAGCGCGCCACATCTGCCGTCTGGCTGCCCACCGCCAAGAGCTTCGCCGGCATGTTCAGATCTTCCGCCTTCTCCTTGGCACTCCCATGACGCGCTGCTCACACTATGGGGGGAGAAAAAAAACGATGAGGAGGAAAAAAAAACGGAAAAGAGGAAGAAAAACAAAAAGAAAAGAAAAACGCCTGGCACGGTGAGCGATGTCCCATGGCACAGCTCAATGGATCGCCATCAACACAAGGCACGCCTGCTCGTGGAAGCAAATGTCTTCCACCAGGCCAATGTTCTCCACGAGCCCCAGCATTCGGACCTCAAAGCTTCGGGACTTCGTCTGTGGCTCGCTGAAGATACGAATGGCTCGGCTGGAAATGGCTGTGGCTCAAAAAACCAGTACCAACATGGAACCTTGGTAAGTGGAAACATGGACCAAAACCCACGTAACCCCTCCGGTTTAATTTTGAGCCACAGCCAAATACGAAAGGCAACAGATCATGTTGCAGAAAGTGGCTTGCTCTTCCGGCAAACGGATCGTCAGGGTGTTTCTCAACATAGGGGTCACCTGAAATGGTTGGTGTGCGTCTGGAGTCCGTTTAAATGGGGGTTCTGGGGTCTATCGTTTTTAGAAACTTCCAAATGAGTGTCACGCAATCAGATGCTCGAGAGGCTGGGGCACCAGCTTTTGGCTCCCTCAATGAGAAGGACGCCATTGCTATCCTGCAGTCAGGATTTCGCCACTTGCTGGTTCGATAGGCAGGTTGGATACGACCCCTATATAACCACACCCTATGGTGTCCTTTAAGGGAATCCCCAGGTTCATTCCCACCACATTGGGTCATTCCCTACTGAGCACCAGCAAGATTAATGCCCTGATAGACCAATGTGAAAGTAGAATCGCATGATTACCTTTAGGTGCTTCAAGCAACGGGATGACCAAACCAACGTGTGGAAATTGTGCCAACTGTAAATCTGGGAGGTTGCAAAATCAAGGCCATTCCTGGGGCATCGTCCCTTCCAGGACTCTGCAAGGGCAAATGCAGGCATTCAGGGCGAATCTCACTCATTTCACGGTCTGCAGATTGACCTCTCTCTCTCACACACGGTGTGTCATGTTTGAGGGCTTGTGGTTTCGAATGACACTAAAAGGTTTCCATCCACCCTCCTTTTTACCCCTCTGGTGATTTTAAAGGGAAACCAAAAGGAAAACCACCCTCCTTTGTGCCCCTCTGTTGGCGGGTTGAAAGGGCAACCAGAAACGGAAAACCCGGGGGGCCCAGCGGGCCATAGGAAAACCGATTCGCCGCCCGCATTCGCCTCCCATCGAAGAGCAGCGCCGCCACCTTCAGCGCCAGGCCATCCTGTGCGCGATGGACCGCTGCAGATGGTCTGAACCGTCGAAAACTCGTTTCACACGGAGAAGGTCCTCGTTTTTGCCCCCCTAAAAGGAGGTCCTTGGATCTCCCAGCTTGGGAGATTGGCAGGAGTTTGTTTCCCAAAAGGGAGCTTTGGAGATTGGGAACTGGGTGGATTCGGTCGAAAGAAATTTACCTGGGCCATTGTGGGATGATTGCCCGAAAGCAAAGGTAGGCTCTTTTTTTTTGGCAGACTGCAGTGGCTTGTTTGCCATTCAGCATATTTTTGGCGGACTGCAGTGGCTTGTTTGCCATTCAGCATATTTTTGGCGGACTGCAGTGGCTTGTTTGCCATTCAGAAGGGCAATGCTTCACCGTCCGGCAATCGTGCCTTTTCCGGGAGGGAAAGCACAGCAGCTAGGGAAATAGTCAAGCGGGCTAATTCACCGAAACATTTGCAAACCAGCACGGCACGTTTATGATTGAATGCTCCCCTCCGTATTAGGTCCCCCTGTTCTCGCATTCATAAGCTTCACAGATCAAGGGTCGGCCCACATCAGTTCAGGATCTACACGCGGTGTTGGAATTCTGTCGACAGCATCCAGCCACATTCATGTACATTACATGTCAAAGCCGAAGCTTCGCACAAAGCACCGATCCTTTGGGTTTGAAATCGGCACGGAAAAAAGAAAGTTTCGGGGAACAAAAGAAGCTAAGAAGCCAGAAGCCGCCGCGCTATGACAGGGGCTTCGTCATAGGTGTCCTTTTCGAGGAAATAGATGGCCCTGGTAGATGATTAAACCACCACTTAAAACCAGAGCCATCTATTTTGTTCTACCACAACAACCAAAAAGGACGCATATGGGCTTCGTCCAAGCCGAAGGCCGGTCCCTTCCTCGGAGAGCGTGCTGCAGAGCTTGGCAATGCCCACTTCGCTGATGCGCTGGGTGTCGATCACCTCCAAGACTTCAACGGGTCCCAAAAGTCGAAAACAAGTCAAGGGCTGCCGGAAGAAAAACAACAAAAACAACAAAGAAAAAAAACGCCATTCTAGGGGTACCTTCGAATTCCATTCTTTTCCAGGGATCCGGATCTTTCCAGAAAACCTCCAGAAACCCCGGGAAAACGGCAGGCTTTTGAAAAGAACGATGATTGAGAAGAATGGGGGGAATCAACCCCTGCAACCATAGCGACATGCTGCCTCTGAATTTACAGAGACTGGACACCGCAGGTCCGAATGGACCTCTGACCACAAGTGTTTCAAAGACCATCTGGCACAGCCAATTGCGTCACACCCAGATGCCATCCGCTTCCAATCCTCCAAGTGGAGGCATGGCGCGCCGGCACACGCCTTCCCTCGCCTGCGCTTCCGTCCATGGGTCTGCGGCCACCGCATGGATGCACCCGGAATCCGTTCCTCGCTCGGCTGGCATTTGGCTCCGGCCCTGCTGCCAGGCGCTGAAAGGAAAATATGGGACCTCCAAAAACCAAAACCGAGCCTCAGCTCACTCGAGTCATACTCAAAACCGATCGGTATTCAAAACCGGTCGTAATCATTTAACCCCAGAAATGCATGCTTCAAGAATTCAAAAGCCGGAGATCCGCACCCATGAATGGCAAGGGGAGTGTCCCTTACTACCCTCCAATTTATCGGGTTTTGTGTTGACTCACTTGAAACACCTCAATTTTGGGGGTCACCCCCCCTTTTGTTTGGTTCATTTTGAAAGGGAATCTCACCGAAAACCAAGACGGAATACCATGGGTGTTGAGAACCACAGCCAGGTGGCAAATGGAGGTTCATCCATCCCATTTTGGGAGCCATAGGTTATGCAACCCCATGGCCCAATTTCCCGGTGGCTTGCCTGAGCCCCCGCACCCGCCAGGAGGAACTTCCCTCTGGACTCCGCGGTGAGGCTGGTCACGGCCGAGGCAAAGCGCAGCAGCCGGAAACCCTTGGGATCGTCGCCGCGGATCACCTCGGCATGGGGAAGAACGAAAAGACTGGGGGCCACTGTTGGATGCCTTTCTTGGGGGGGGCATTCTCATCTGAGAATGCTATGGCTGATTTTTGTTGGTAATGTTGGGTGCAATTATTTACGGTCGAATGAAACTGCAGCCGTATATGGGGTGAATGGGTCAATACAGCAAAGAAAGACTCGGAGATGCAGTTTGACACGACAACACAGGCCCTCCCCCCTCTCTCTCCAACTGCAATCCACACCTGCCACAGCCGCAGCCGGCCGCCCTCGTCCGCACTAGCGCAGACCTGCAAATTAACATAAGGCAGCGCGCAAGCTATCAGGACGTCTGGTCGCCTTGTCGTGGTCTTCACGATTGGCCAAACAAGCCACGTGTTGGTCTCCAAACCATCAAACGTGAGGAAGGATACAGTGCAGCATTGGTCAGGAACAACAAAAAAGAAGCGCAAAGGTAAGAGCAATCGAAATCCTGCCTGGAGCCCGGTGCCAATGGGGCACAAGCACGTCACCGTGTTGGCCGGAAACCAAGTCAGCAGCTCCATTTGCCTGGCTCCCCTCACATTGTCTAACAGAAACGAAAAGAAGTGCATAGGTGCCCTGACTTGATCATTGGGGTGCATCAAAAAGATTAGTACCGCAGGCCGAAGGCCTGTGCACAACGTGTTGCATGCCTACCGCGTCCACCTGGAACATTTCAAGCATGTAACTCGCGGCATGCGCCAATTCGCCAGGCATTGCCCGGGAGCTCAATTTGCACAGGCCAGGCTTGCAGCTGATCGGCGCGTACGTACATGTCGTCCTGCAACACCACTACAGCGCTTGTCGACTCATGGAGCCGGTGTGCCACAGCTGAACATGCTAACCCCGACATGCTCATCTACATCTACGTCTCGCTGTTGCTCCTCATCAGCTCGTGCACTGAATCACTTGCAATGGTTTGGTTTCTTTGACAGGTCAGCAGCAAGGATAGCAGCAAGGATGGCGCAAGCTTTTTTCCCATCTAAAGGTTGTACCGACAAAGTCATTGACAAGTCTCAGCAGGGTGCAGGCTGCAGCAAAACTCATCAGATCAACGGGACAGGTCCTCCATTTCGAACTCATCCGGCTCGCTGTTTCTGGCAGCGAAATGAGCAGTCTGTTTCTCTTACACTGAGCATTGCGTTTGTCAACGCTCAGCGGGATCGACCTGCACCTCCCCAAGATGGCCCTACGAGCTACAAGCTCCAACGCCACCAAGCACAAGACATCCCTGGAGAGCTGAAGGCAAATTGGCTCTCAGCATCAGGATCCGAGCTCATCAACTGAGCCAAAGACAAGCGGCAGTGGGTAGAAAAATATCTACCCAAAATGGGAACCCTGGCAAATGGAAACATGGATTAAACCTGTGGTCCCATGGTTTAATTTTGACCCACAGCCAAGCCAGCGGCCTAAGACTTCAGCAACTTGTCAGGGGCACTGCTGGGAAGGCAGCTGCATGGTCCAGACTTCGCCCTCAGCAGTTGTTAGCACCTCGGATGGGAAGCAGGTCAGAACCCCGTGTACGTCAGCAAGACCAATTCGGGGAACTGATGGTAAGGGACAAGCGCCTTGACAAAAAATAGCTGGGGGCGCCCTTCTTCTTAATTATTGAAGCATGGTTCTGGGTAGACCAGCTTAATACCGGGTTTTGATTATGGCTCATGTGAGGCTGTATAGAAACCGTGCCGTTTTTCTTAGAGTTCCTCTTTTGGGGCTATCGTGTTTTGACCCGCATCGTTTTGCAGCGTTCTGTGCCATCTGTACTTTCAACCTCGAAATCGCGACCTTTTGGTACACGTGTAGAACACCAAGCACACATTGGCAGCTCCAGCTCGAAAATCGCAACTTTTGAGTACGAGCGTGGTGCAGGAAGTAACTCTGGCAGTTCCAGCTCGCACAACTGTACACTTTGGACAGCTCGAACATCACCTTTTAGTACACCTGCAGTACACAAAGTCCAGTTTGGCAGCAAAATCGCAACTCGCAACTGTCAGTACCACTGCGCGCAACGTACGCTTTGGAAGACTCCTGTGGTTACTTTACGTTTCATGTGATATTCGGCAAGGGTGCGAGGGGTGCGAGGGGTGCGAGGGGTGCGAGGGGTCATGCTAGTCTGGTCTCGATGACAGCTAGACAAGCCCTCCTGGCTGGAGAGAAGCGCGAGGCAATCAGCGGCATGGTACAGTCAAGACAGCAACATTGCAAACATGCGCAGGCTCGAGTGGCTGATTCACAGGCTGACTGCGGCACCACTTCTTTGAAGTTGGGAGCTGCTTGTACAGAAGCCACCTGCATACCGACTCTCTCTCTCTCTCTCTCGCTCTGAGGCAGTTCAACATGACAGCCTATCCGCAAGCCCCCTTTCACAGTGGATCAAAGGAAGCGTGCACGCATGTAGGGCTAAGCCTGCCTGACCCAGCAAGCGGTTTGCCAGACGCTGGGTCTGGCTGACACTTTCCAGATCCACCACCTGCCAAGCTCCAAGGAGAGACAAACAGCAACAATTGTGCCATTTGTGAACCTATTTTAGTGGGGGGTACGGGCTTTTGACCCATGGCAAATCAGAAGATTTGTACAAATCAAACCAAAACTGCCCGCACCAGCTTGGTGTCCAAACTCTTAAAGTCCACATGCTTCAAGTGCATGGCATGGTACTGCAAAGCCCGGGACCAAACTCTGTGGTGGCCTCACACTTGCACAAGTGGAAGAGGTGCCAGTCTCAAGGCTCTCTTTGACAACTTTGCAGCTTTGCAGCTGTCTCCCACGGAGAAACGGACAACTGGCCTTCTTCAGGTGGAACATGCCAGTGGACAGGGCCATCTGTGGCCTCAAGACTTGGAACACCCGGCCGCCCAACAAGCTCGCCCCAGGCCCATGGGGATTACACAAGTGTTTGCGACTTGCACTTCTTCTGCGTTCTGAATAATCTTTAGATGTCTTAACGACTTCCCCCGGAAACGACATACTTGCTCTTTGGCAACTCTGAAAAAAGATCCACGGTAGTTTGAGCTGGATGGGACTGTAAAAATGGATGTGCGAGCCAATGGTCAACTCCAACAGGCATGGCTCAAAGGCTCAGTCCCAAGAACCAGGTCCTGCCAAGATTTCCGTGGCTGCTGGCTGCAATTGATGGGAGCCAATACATCCAGCTGTTAATAATTACATGTAGACGGGGAACAAAGCACACAAGGAGTGGAATGAGAAGTGGAAGAACTTGCCATGCTTGAATGCTCTCCCCAACCCATTCTGTCCACAGACTAGCTAGTTTGTAATGGTGGAGGCACTTGTACTTCCGAGCCACGTAAAGAGCAACGTATAAATCGGTTCAAGTGTGGAACGCGTGGCTAAGGATTTTGTCCTTTCAATCAAATAGCAACTAGCAACTTGACATCTGCACGTCATACAGCAAGGAGGTCAAGTCACTAGCTGACTATTGGATCCAAATTCTGGAAAGGGAAGAGCAAATGATTGGCATGATCGGAGGCTGGCATCCATGTTCTTATGCGCATGCATCCGCCATTCAACCCTTCGCAACTTGGCACTCTACTTTGAGCACCACGCAGAATTGCTCCTAGCAAAGCCAATCACCTTCCTGAAAACTCCGGGGGAGAGTAGTGAGTACGCGGACCTTGTAGGGACATGAAAATTCACAAGGAACGGTGCAGTAAAACCTGACCTTAGCTTAGGTTGACAATGTAGAGGATCAGGTAGGAGTTTCTCAAGTACAGTTTGCTTCCTCTTGAGCAGCAAAGTAAACTACAAGGAAGTCCATGGCAAAGTTGACAGTTCATGACGGCTTAGACATGCTTGAACATTCAAGCAATATCCGGCTCTTCCCCCTATGGAGGATCTGAGGAGCTGGGGTTCACCCAGTGCCCCTTCACCCGCAAGGGGTTGGGCGTCTTTTTGGGGAACAGTCCATGACGCTTCGGCCCTTCTGCCCCTTCTGCCCCTTCTGCCCCTTCCCCTTCTGCCCCTTCTGCCCCTTCTGCCCCTTCTGCCCCTTCTGCCCCTTCTGCCCCTTCTGCCCCTTCTGCCCTTCTGCCCCTTCTGCCCCTTCTGCCCCTTCTGCCCCTTCTGCCCCTTCTGCCCCTTCTGCCCCTTCTGCCCCTTCTGCCCCTTCTGCCCCTTCTGCCCAGCGGCGCGGACGCCGCGCCAGACGCGAAGCTGGCAACGTCGGCGGAGTTCACCCGTGCCAAGGCCTCCAAAGGGCAAGTCTGTATCCGTGATAGCTGCCATTCTAGGGATTCATTCCCCGTTCTTTTCAACCATCGTTCTTTTAAAAAACCGGCTGTTTCCCCTGGGGTTCTGATGGTTTTCTGGAAAGAAGGATCCCTGGAAAGAATGGGGAAGTGTCCCCTAGAGTCATGGTGGCTCTGGCTGGCTAACATCCAAGGCCATAGTCCAGGTTTGCAGACCAGCCGTAAGAAGAAAAATCCACCCAGCCGCAGACCTCCAGCCCTCCAGACGTACTGCGGATGGACAAAATCCTGCACCACTTTGAAAACCATGGGAAACCATTGTTTGTTGGCATTTGCAGGTGAATCATCATTCCAGGTTTCCTAGGTGGTGCAATCCACAGTACCACCTCAATCCCTTGCCTCCGGCTGCAGCTCCCAAAAGTTCAGGGTGTTGCCGATGTGGGATGTCACCAGGAACTCATCCGTCCTATGCAGCGAACAATAGGGCTTAGTTGCAGTTGACCCCCCTTAAAAAAAGTTTAACTTGTTGGGGGCGTGGAAAACACCTTTATTTCGCAAAAAGTTAAAGTCTAAAGATCCAAGCCAATAGCAGTCAAGTCGGGGAAGAGAGCTTAAACCTGTCGATAAGCTTAGCCAGTTCCTTCCCTTCTGATGCCCAAAGCAAGTTTAGAAGGAACTTCCGTGGACGGTAACTAATTGCAAGCTAGCTCTGTGACGGAAGAAGAGAAGCACAAGTACGCCCGAAAAGAATGCCCGCACGTGGCGGGGGAGTAGAAATCAAAAAGCTGCAATTTCCTGCGTCGTTTGGTTCCTTGGGATGGTTGAAAGATCATCGCGACGGGCCCATAGGCACGGATGCCTGTGCGCTTTTTTTCACAACTCTTCTTTGCACTTTGGCTATCCCAGCACTGTCGCAAGGTCAGGTATGGATATCGTGGGGTCACGTACAGATTTCGTGGCAGACCCGGCAGCGTCGCGAGGTGAGGCATGGATACGCGGCAGGCGCAGCACTTTCGCCACATTTTGCGGCAGGCCCAGCACTTTCGCAAGTTGAGGGATAAAATTCGCGGCATGCGCAGCACTTGGGCGAAGCGCAGCACTTTCCCAAGGTCAGGGATAGATTTCGTGGCAGGCCCAGCACTTTCGCAAGGTGAGAGATAGATATCCTGCCAGACGCAGCACTTTCGCCTGGTCAGGTACAGATTTCGTGGCAGGCGCAGCTCCGTCGAAAGGTGAGGGATAGATTTCGACTTTGGTTGAGTCTGCTACAGATTTCGTGGCACGCGGGTGCAGCGCTTTCAGAAGATTGATGAATGATTGATACATACACAGATAGATAAATAGATAGACAGATAAATCGATGGATCGATAGATGGGTAGATAGAAAGCAAGATTGGATAGATAGAAAGATAGACAGATAAGGTAGATAGCTCGGTAGAGGTAGATCACTAGAATAGATCAGACTGGATAGATAGATGAATGGATAGATGAGTAGACTGGACAAATACATGAACAACTATTCAGTTAGATTGGATCGGATCAGATGGATAGATAGATAGATGGATAGATAGATAGACAGATAGATAGATAGATTGGAAAAATGGATAGATGGATAGATTGGATAAATGAATACATTAATGTTTAGTTAGGGAGAAAGTGAGATTGGGTAGATAGAACGATTTATCGATTGGATAATAGATAGATAGATAGATAGATAGATAGATAAATAGATAGATAGATAGATAGATAGATAGATAGATAGATAGATAGATAGATAGATAGATAGATATATAGATAGATAGGTAGGTAGGTAGTTAGATGGATGGATGGATGGATGGATGGATGGATGGATGGATGGATGGATGGAGGGATGGATGGATGGATGGACGGACGGACGGATAGATATATAGATAGATGGATTAGATATAGATTGATGGATACATAGACTGATTCATTGATTGATTGATTGATTGATTGATTGATTGATTGATTGATTGATTGATTGGTTGGTTGATTGGTTGGTTGGTTGCTTGGTTGGTTGATTGGGTAGATTAGGATAGGCTAGGCTAGATAGATAGATTGGTAGATAGATACATCGATGGATAGATAGATAGATATACATAGACAAATAGGGTAGATAAATATGATAGAAAAATGTGACAGATAAGACAGACAAGATAAGATAGAGAAAAATAATGATAAAACACAAAAACATAGAAGATAGTTAAAGTAGGTCAGGCTTGCACTTTCCTGCAGGTCGTGCACGTGCAAGGGCATCCCCTAAGAAGGAAAGAAACAAAAAAGAAAGAAAGAAAGAAAGAAAGAAAGAAAGAGAAAAAGAAAGAAAGAAAGAAAGAAAGAGAGAAAGAGAGAAAGAGAGAAAGAAAGAAAGAAAGAAAGAAAGAAAGAAAGAAAGAAAGAAAGAAAGAAAGAAATAAAGAAGGAAATAACGCAACAAAAAGTCAGGAAACAAGAGAAACGGCGGGAAAACAACAAACGGAAGAGCAAGCAAGAGAAGAAGAGATAGAGAAAAAAGGAGAAAGAAGAGTGAAGAAGAGAAAAATAACTATAGATCTTATATTTTTTGAACCTTTCCACCCACCGGATTCGCCGGCTCTACTGGAAGGGGGAATGAATGGAGAACAGCAAGAGCATGCAAACCCTACAAAAACAACCGCCGGTAAGGGAAGGGAAGCTTGGCGACGATTTGAGGTCGCCAACAACAGCTGAGGCTGCGACAGCGTGATACTTGTGATAGGCTGCTCTGCCTGACACATGTACCTCAGCTTGACCAATGTCCAACCCTGTCCAAGCCTGCGATATCATCCAGACTCATCCACAACCACTGCATGTAGTCAATGCTCGGGTGCTTGGTTCTTTCGACCCATGGACAGGTCAAGGTTACTCGGTTGCTTTCTGCTCCTCTGCTAAAAGTTTAACTTTTAGTGGTCCTCATGGGAAAACCCACCAGTTGGCGACAAGTTGCTAAAGTCCTAACATCCCTTGGCAAAACGCAACCAATCTTACCAAGATCATTTCAAAAGGGAGATCTCCATGATTGTCTGTAAAAAGGGGCCATTGTCTAAAGGTTCCAATGATCCATTCCGCTCCGCTCACATCTTGCACCTGGCCCCTTTGCTGCCCAGTCACAGCAGCGAGCCGGTGGCGCCGTCCATCGTGCAAAGCCTCGGCGCGGGGCGCAAGCGCGCGGATGCACAGTTTGCCCGTGAACGCATGTTGAACGGAACTTCACGAGTTTGTCTAAGAAACATATGGGTGTGTCTCCAAATGGGGGGATGCAAAAAGAAGCTGGTTCGCTGTTGTTGAGCCAACCCTAAAGGGCACCCGCAAGAAAAGACGCACACATAACCATATTGTGTGCGTATCCCTGTTGGCAAAAGTCCAAAGGTGGTTGTTCGCAGCACGATCGCTGCCCTGAAGGCTCAATGAATCAGCACAGGCTGCCCCTTCAAACGAACATGGTTTGAACCGAGCTGGCCAAGACGGATCATGTCGCCATCTCCCTGAAGCCGAGCTTTTGCGTCTGTTCCAGGTTCCAGCCCACAGCCTATGCGAGAAAGTTGTGCCCGACGTCACCCTGGGCCCTCTTGACTCTCTGTCAACCGTAAGCGTCCCTGCGCCCCTTGACGCGTCGCCACGAGGAAGTGCCTTGGCCGGTAGATCACTCTGGAATCGTCCGAAACCCTGCTTCAACAGCATGACAAGTCAATCCTGGCTTGGCGTGACTTTTTGTGAGTCACAGGAGCCCGGCAACACGGAAAAGCTGTGACATTGATTAAGTCATCACCGTGGCGCCCGGTGTTCGTCCAGCAGTATGCCGAGACCGCGAGGTCCGTATCACTGGGAATAGCAGATGGCCTTGGAGCAGTGAGGAATGCTGGTAGGAACAGCACTAAGTCAAGATCATCCCGACAAATGTGTGCATCTCAAGTTACAAGTCACAGACCAGACATTCAAGGGCCTGAGTCGCCTCTTGAAGCCAAAGCTAATGCAATGGCAACTGCGCGACTTCAATCAAATGATGGTTCTGGCCTGCAAAGTGACACACCAAACATCTCATATGCAGGCCTTGGACACATATCCATTGCAGGACAGAAGCACCCAGAATTATCTTTTTTCACTACCTGCAAATAGACTGAAACCCAGGGATTCCTTTTTTGGGGTACGTGACCCACCCCTGGGTTTCAGGCATTGTGGGGGTAGTCAAAAAGTGGAACCCTGGAAGCAACCGCATGTCCCTGCTATGTCCCGGGCTGCAGTTTGGCGATGTAGGTCTCGAAGGACTTGGTGATGGACACCACCCGCACCGCCGAGCTGCGAACGACCGCCAGGTGATCCTGCGCCGATCGCTTAGAAGCGGAAACGTGCACCCATGGGGAGGTTTGGAGAGCGTCCCCTCATGGGGGGAGGTGGGTTTTTGAAACCAACACAATGCACCAACTTCAACCCCACTTGTACCAAATCCCTGCGTGTCAAAACACCCACCCCCCGTGAGGGGGGGCCTTCTGTAGCTTTAGGGCCTGCTCAACAAACAGCACGGATCTGACGCATTCCCCCATGCATCATTCATGCTGACAAGGGTGATGGGTGCTGTGGGATCCCTCTGCTTGGTGGTGATGGGCTGAGGTCCGCTTTCTGCGTTGCAGTCTGGAGGAAACGCATCCTGTGTTGTTCTCCGTCTTGCTTAACCGTCTTATCGGGGCATGCCCCCGGTCCGTGCTGTGTTTGCAGCAAGCGCATCTGCCTTGCCCGAGCATGCAAGATCCAGAGAGATCATACCATCCATGGGTGCCACACTTCCCAAGAGGAACCCGAAGGATCATGCCGGGCCTCAAAAAATCCCCGCAAGGCAGCGAAGGGAAGGAAGGGAAGGAAGGGAAGGAAGGGAAGGAAGGGAAGGAAGGGAAGGAAGGGAAGGAAAGGAAGGGAAGGAAGGGAAGGAAGGGAAGGAAGGGAAGGAAGGCAAGGAAGGACAGGACGGAAAGGAGGGAGGGGAAGGAGAGGATTGCGAGCCCGCCCGGCCTTGTGACCAGGATACACGCAAACCTTGTCGAAACGCAAGGGCAGCTTCAGCTCGCATCCTGAATGCCAGAAGCCAGGCCAAACGAGGCCAAGTCGACGAATGCTGTTTTTAGATTCGCGAGTTTCGATGTCTGGAAGAAAGCTTCTGGGGGATGCTATTTTTCAAAAAATGCTCCATCACGTCTATATGAAGCAAAAGGATCTGTGTGAGGTTCGTTTGGAGAGTGGCATGAGTGTCTTCAGTGCATGAATTGGTTGGATTTGCATATAACGGCGCGGACATCAGCACATTTAGGAAGAATGCGCCGCTTCCCAATCCTCACGTGTTGCTTGGAGCATTTCTTGATGCGTTAGCTGCGCATCCTGACCGGGCCAAGGCAACGCGAATCGAAGCGTTCGCACGAAGCGCGTCCTGGCAGTGGCTTACCAGTCTTCATAGAGAAGATGGAGAGCTTCTTGGATGTTGCCCTGACATTTCACACATCACACACAAAAGCATGGTGCGGCCAGAGGGGTAGGTCCATTTCCAGGGCGGTTCCTTTTTGCTTCAAGCCAGGGGCATCGGACGCAACTTGGCTGTGGGTCAAAACCCAAATCGTACCCCCAGTGAACATCTCAATCCAACGTTCTAAAATGGGTGGTGAATTCACCTAAAATCCCCAAATGGGATCCCAAAACGGTTTTGACCACAGGCACTTGGCAGCACCTGACCCCAACAGCGCGGCGCCTGGAGAGAGCGTAGAGCCGGGAGCCGCAGCGGCTGAAGGCGAGATCCGCCAGCTCCAGTTCCGCAAGGTCCGGAAAGGTGTACCTTAAAGGTCGACCAATGACCCTAAAATCATCTTCTTCTAAGGGTGTTGGTATTGCACCCGAATACACCCACTGGGTATTGACCCCATTTAGGCACATGTCCGGATAATATCGTATTGTTTTTGCGGTTTTGGGCGGAAAGGGCGTTGCCCAGGGAATCAAAAGGGTTCACGTAATCCACGAAGAACCCAAAGAACCCGCACTCACGACTCAGTGGACTGAAGCCGGTGACCAGGTTGAAGGACGTGATGATTGAAGAAGAGGTGGTTGAAGTGAAGGTTAAACAGCAAGTTGCAAGAGATCACCTTAACCAGGCCCAGGCAAGTCCTGCCGCAGCACCACCTACCTCCTAGCACCAGCCCACCCCAGCGCCGAGAGTCCTTTCTCGGCGACGCAGCGAGATGCCGTGCTATGGCGAGTGCCGTGCTACCAAAACTAACCTGACGGGAGGTTAAACTTGAGCCAAACGGCCATTTGGCCGCTTTGCCACATGATGAAACAACACGTGAACAAAACACACCCCCCTCATCCGATATCAGGACGAGAGAAAGGATGCGAGACAGTTGAGTTCACGACGAAAGGGACCAACCAAAAATGCCGGTGTCAACTCAGAGGTGAGCCAAACGGCATCACCTGGGCCCCAGTTAAAATCCCGCCACCACCCCGAATTATCGGGGCGACAGGATTATTTGACGAGTGGACCACATGAGTGAACAAAGACATATTGGAGGAACCAGACGAAGATTCCTCTCGTGCCGTTCATGAGTCACGATGCCATGCGGAGGGGGATCCTATCTGACCATCCCGCCCTCACTGAGGTTCACTGGTGAGTAGTCGAGTTGGAAGATTAGAGTCATGGGACGATGCCAAGGGGGTGGATCGCGAAAGCGGTTTAGTCGAGTGAGGAAATTAGTTCCGAAATTGGTGTGAAAATAACTGGCAATGGCCGGCCCGGCACTTCTAGTGCGGTCACAGCCTCACACAGGATCGCCAGGGGAACCGTCTCCGGCGCGCACGGCAGCGGTGCGGGAGGGACACGAGCAACGCCGGATCAGCGGTACAGGGCAATGGAGATCATCACCCCCAGCAGCGCTGCACGGGCGAGAGGAGGACCGGCGCGGTCGCGTTTGTCGGCGACACACGTACTATCCTCGCCCTTCTTCTAAGGCGGATGCTGATTGCGGCACCCGTCTACCACCCTGAACCAGGCTCTTCCCGGTCCCTGGGCGCGTCGTCTCTTCGGCGTCCACCACGGTCACCTCGATCACCTCCTCCATCCCGACGGCGATCCTCACCACCACCCCTATTGTGGTCGCCAGCCGGAGGTCGGCGAGGCGGAGGGGGATCTGATTGGTGACGTCGGTCATCCCTGCGCCGGTCCCGGTGGCGATCGCGACGGTCATCGCCCGGGTCATCACGTCCGCGGCGCTCATCTCGCCCCGGGCCGCGCCTCTCGGAGGTCTCCTCATGACGTGGAGGAGGTCGGCGATCATCGCGTCGGCCTCCGCGGGTGTCCCTGCCACGATCATCCCTTTGTCGGGGCGGGCCGGGATCCTCACGTCCACCTTTGCCAGGTCGATGTTTTCCTCGACCCTTCCCCTCACCCTTAGGACCACGACGATCCTCGCGGGCCCCAAGCGCGGTCCTTGACCGATCGTCATCTCGTCGGGGCCGCGACTCATCTGCCGCACGAGTGGTCCGAGGCACACCCGGGGGAAGCTCCCACTCGTCGTTGTCGTCATCACGCGGGTCATAGCCGCGATGGCCGCCCAAGGAACCGGTGGCATCCCGTGGTGGGGACGCAGGAGTTCCGGGACCGCCCGATCGAAGACGAACTCGGGGAGTCGCGTCCTCGCCGGTAAAAGGATCCTTCTGGGTGTAGAAACCCTTAGTCCTGCCCCTTCTCTCCCCACCTTCCACACCGCTTCTCGCGGGGACCGGGGATGGGCGGGCAGGCTGGGCCATGCTCTTAGAGCTGGGTTGCCCGCTAGGCGGGACCTGAACGCCCCCCTGCCCTTTTTCGGGCGCGGGGACCCGACCGCGAGATGTCCTTCTGGCCTTGGGTTGGTCGGACTCACCCTCCAGCTCGGACTCGGTGTCAGGGACACGAGTATTGATGGCCATGTCCTCTTCCTCAAACGGATCCCCAGTCGTAGTAACGCCTGCCGCAATGGGAGCGGGAGGAGGAGGAGGAGGAGTTGGCACAGCATCGCCAGAATGACGCCTGCATGCGGCACCACGGGAGTCTCCGGTTCTACCGGGACAGGCGGCGCAGGAGGAGCCGGGGGCGGTGGCGGAGGGGGAGGGATCTCCTCCTCGTCGTCGCCCATGGGCTCGTCAAGGTCGTCAGGCTTCTCGTCATCTTCGTGCGAAGAACCATCCGATCCCAGCTCATCCTCCGCTGATCCAGCAAAGTCGGGCTCGTCTTCGTCCTTCACGCCGGGGCCTGGTGTAAGGCGAATTCCGGGTCGATGGCGATCGCGGGGTCGGAAGCGGTATTTCCTTGGTACAGGGTCGGATAGCTCCTGTTTGATGTCATCCTGGGTTTGAGGACGGTCGGCCAAGCAGGTGTCGTAGGCAACGGTGGACGTCCGGTAGATCAGATCGTCCATACTGCTGAGGTCGTTGAGGGTGTAGACATACCCCTTCTTAATGCCTTCCCGAATCGTGTCCATAGCCCGTTTGAGGCGCGCGGCAGGATCGAATCCGGCCCTTCTCCGCATGGCCTGCAATATCCCGCAGTGCTGTGCGAGCAGCCCCACCTGGAACTTGAATCCCTCCCCGGACACATCGTTGGGGAGTATCGGAGAAAGGTGTCCTGTTCTCAGCCCAATGATATGGGCCTCAAGAATGTAGTAGGACGTGTAGAAACCGCACCGGTTGGCGTTGAAGTTTGCGGTGGTTAGGCGTCTGCCCCACTCAGCCGCATATCCCTCATATTCTTCGAAGAATTCGGGGACGGAGCTCCCGTTGAAGGCCAGACCCCTTACCAGGATCGCCTTTGCTACCCACTCTTCCACGTTGTTGTCGACCGTGTCACGGTATTTGCCGTCAAGGACTTCGTCTCGGAGCGAGTCGTGAAGTTTCCGGAAAATGCCATCCACGTCCTCTTTGTCAAGGTACTTAGGAGGCCGCATCCCAGACATCAACAAGGACCGGGCATCGACGGCGGGACTCTGCGAGTAGAGGGCCATACCGATGGCGTTGGCGTCTGAGTTGTTCCACAGAGCGGGGACGAAGCCCTCGTATTTTGCCAGCCAGGGAGGAATCAACCCGTCAGTGCTCGCTATCGTGCGAGGGCCGCCGTTCGTGTCTCCGGTGGGCAGGACGCCATCGTAGAAGATGGGAAGGTAGCAGGCGGTGCACAGGTGAGCGCCGACCGGATGGGCCGTCATGCACCTATGGCATGGAACGGACACCACCTCGCGGGCATGTTCCGTCTTGGTGATCTGATGGTACTTCTCCATCTCGTCCCGACACTTCCTCGGGTTATCACTCAAGGAGTTGAGGAAGTTGGGCGGATAGCACCAAGGCCTCAGGTAAATGATGGAGCAGTCCTCCTTGAAGTAGACGCATCTCCAGTACCCGATCGCGATGTTCTCGCGCGACGCAAAGGTACCCTGACGAGTAATATGCATGCCCCCATTTTCCATGGAGAAGAAACGTGCATCGATAGCCATGACCACATATCGGGGATCGCTCCTTTGGCGTCGACCCGAGGTGTGCAGCTCCGTCACGTTGCTGTCGGTGATGCGGTCGACAGTGTCGTTGGGGCACTCTCCGTGATCGCGGAGGGATTGATACTCATCCGGCCGAGAGGGAAGGAGCTCGATCAGAGCTCGCCCACCCCGAATGATCGCCCCACGTTCTACGTAGAGCCGATACATTCGGAGAGGCACCACCTTGTAGAGCGTCTTAGGAACCACCTTGGAGGTGATAGGAAGACAAACAGGGCTCTCGTAGAGCATGTATTGGTATCGTTCACGAAATGCCCGGTAATCAGTGTCGGATCCGATCTCAAGCGACCTTACCGCCGCTATGCGGGCGGAACCAGGCAGCAACCGACGCTCCTTGTCACGAATGACGGTGATGATGATCTCGAACATTCCCACCCCATCCTCGAGAAAGGAAGACAGGAGGTATGAAGAAAAGGCATCCTCGGACTCGACGCTGGTCCCGAAGTAGTGGCTCAGGAACCTCTTCAGTTGTATCACCGAAGTAACGTTCCCTTGCCCGCTGGCAGACGAGG